AATTCTGAAACGGAACAAGGGATTTTGATCAACTGAGATTGTGTAACGTGGGTCTTCAGAGGGAAGAAGGGTGAGTTGTGGTGATTATCTCGGCAGCCACCTGTGGAGAGCAGATCACTATAGAGCCACTCTTCAATCTGGTGAGAAGAGAATCGGGTACAGAGAAGAAAGGGAGAGTTTTTTTGTTTAATTAGTTTTAAGGGTTGAAAACATTAATTAATTATTATTTTTTAATTTAGTTGGATGGAAAAGTGGGTCTTTCTTTTGCCACATTATCATTTAACAGTTAAATTAATAGAAAATTTAACGGAGGTCTGACATTGCTACGAATTCATAAGTTGAGATATGACATTGCAATGTTTAAAACATAAGGTTTGAGATTGTGGTTCAACTCATAGTTGAGGTAGTTTTGTGTAATTTATCCAAAAAAATAACATAAAAGTTAAATGAGGTATGACATTGCAATGAATTTATAAAACAAGGTCTAACATTGTAATGCTTAAAAGATGAGTTATGAGATTGTGGTACGACTCATAGTTGAGGTAGTTTTATGTAATTTATCCAAAATTTTACATATAAAAATAATTCCTGGTAAAATTCTTAATAATTCATTGTGACAAATAACCCAACAAAATAATTCAATGTATAAAGTTTTGAAAGCACTGTATGTTAAATTGAAAGGAATCGTGTATTTAAAATTAAAAAAATAAAGACGCGGCATACAAATAGATTCAACCGTTTAACAATAACATTTATTATAATAAATGACTAAACTATTAAAAATTAATAAAAGACATTAATGATTAATTAAAAATTATTTGAAGCTGTTGTTGACACACCTGATCCTGATATCCTCCAAATACCAAAGTACTCATGTGTTGGCCAACACCCGAAGGTGACAAAGCCATATTAGAATGCATGAGGACTAGAAAGAAATACCTAACATAAATAAAACTTGTAAATTTAATTATAATGAATATGCAATTGTGGAACGTGTTCGGAGCATACAACTAATCCGAGACACTAAAAAACAATAATATAAAATTGAATGGACAAAAGGGATGGGTCCTACATCGAGAGAACTCGAAGATGCCAATGCGAGAGTGTCTTAACGCAGGGATTGTACGTCTCGATTCTAAGTCCTGAGGGGGCACAAAACAAAACATGAGTCGACCAAGTTGATATATAAGTAATATTAAAACAGTTAAACTTTAACATACTAACCTCTAGGTTTAGAAAACTCGTATATCATAATAGGTTTTTCCGAAAACCCTAGCATGCCATAAAACTTCTTAAAATATATATTATATATTATATTTAGTGTGCTTAATAGTAGTAGCACAAGGGTGTGTGTGTGTGTGTGTGTGTGTGTATGTGTGTGTATATATAAACATATATATAGATAAATCTTCATTCACCTGAAGGCACTACATCTACCGTCCGTAGGCAATATATAACTATCTTTCGACTGAAGCCACCAACCTATGCCCAGCCGAAGCCATATATAAGTATCTTTCAGTCGAAGCCACCAACCTATGCCTTGTTGAAGCCAATATAAATATCATTCGGTCATAGGGAGTATCATTTGCTTGTAGGCCCTACATCACCCGACCGAAGCCAATTAATGATTTCATTCGCCCGTAGGCAGGACCATTTGCCCATAGGCAAGACATTATGAGTAACCTCTAAATAAGCACATAAAAACATTAACATAATATTTCTAATATATATATATATCTATCTATCTATCTCAAATTGGAGATCAGTAACTAAAACGTCGTATCGTAAAATCACGTTCATAAGTAGGTATATAGTCATCAATCATATATACCACAACGAATGTAAAGTTGATAAAGCATAATATATCATAAAGTGTAAATCCAATTTACTCATAAACGTTTCATAAAACATAACCAACAAATCATGCTTTCATGTATACATTTCTAGTAGTAAAATCATGCATTTTAGAAGGGGTCTGTTCACAGATACTTCACCGTTGAAGAGCCATGCAAACAAGAGAGGACGGGAATGCCATACACAATTGCACCTAAGTACATAAAGGTACCAATTAATAAAACTTTATCATAACAATTGAATTTCAAGAAACAGATGTCATAAACGGATTCAGATTGCGGTTAAAGCCTGGTAGCCCGACCCAAGGGTTTGGGCTCAGATTGGGGTACGGGTTTTGGGTTACCGAGTCGGGGTTGACCCGGTTTCAGGCAGGTTTGACGGAGAAGAAAGCTGAAGCTTCCCAAGCTCTATTCAACCCTGAAACTCAACCAAAACACGTCATGCAATATACCAAAATGAAGCCTAAGGAATAAGGAAGAGATTCGTACCAGTGACAGGTCGAGAGGTGGTAGGAGTTGGTTGGAAAATGGTCTGCAAGGCACGACAATCTTGTTAGAAACTGGGGAAGGTCTTTCCAAGGTGTTCATGGTCGGAGATACCACGAACTATGTTGGAGCTCGTTGGAGTTCAATTTGAACAGTTCTAGTGACATTGTTCCATGAGGGAGAAGGAGAAGAAGGCGTCTTGTTGGTCCAGGGTCAAGATGGGAAAGACCTGAGGGTGATGGTGGTGGTGTTGTCGTAGTTCGTTGCATGTGTGTGTGTGTGTATGTGAATCGCTGGAGAGGAAAGAGCACAATAAGTAGAGAGAGCTATGAGGTTTGTCACGAGAAAGGGAAGGAAGAAATAGAGAGAGCCGGGGGGACCAAAAAGGAAATGGGCCCTAAATGGCACATAATTTAAGACCCAAAACGCACCAATTTAGCCCAATCTCAATGAAGTTACCAAAATACCCTTCTGTTCCGTAAATTCCTAGATAGGTCGTCACAGCTGTCAAATTTGACAACTACTCCCTTTGCTACCATTCCATGTCATGCTACATAGGATTTGACATTTCGGTTGGAAACAATTAATGGCTGCCATTTTTTTAATTGTTATAACTTATGTGGACATTTTGACATCTCCTTTAGAAAGCGTTAGGGTTGAGATAGAGTTAAGGTTAATTCCATCTCTGGACACAGCCGCTAAAACATGACATCGTTTGGACTTGCAAGATGTTTTGGAACGTTTTGCTTTCGACAACGTTTGCAAGTTGGCTTTTAATGTAGACCCAAATTGTCTCGGAAGCGACAGCGGTAGAAAATCTGAGTCCACCAATTTCGATTCCAATCCGAATCCTGATCGGTTCATGCAGGCATTTGAAGAAGCGGCCACACTTATCTCCGGGAGATTTTTGTATGCGTTTTGGTTTATGCAAAAGATAAAGATGTTTTTCAACGTTGGATTAGAGTGGAGGTTAAAAGAATCAATCTCGACCGTTCATAACTTCGCGGATAAGATAATAAAGTCGAGAATTAGCGACGAACGGTCGGACGATCGTCACGATTTGTTGTCCTTGTTTATTGGTATTACCGAAAACAACAACTCGCCGGATTTTCTCCGAGACATCGTGATAAGCATCATTCTCGCCGGCCGAGACACGACCTCATCGACTCTGACGTGGTTCTTCTGGCTCGTGTCGTCCAGACCTCACGTCGAGCGTGCCATTTTAAATGAGCTCGAAATGATTCGGGTCCGAAACGGGAAAAGTATCGGCGATGTTTATGATTTGGACGAGCTCCGAGACATGCACTATTTGCACGCGGCGATTTCAGAGGCGATGCGGCTGTACCCTCCCGTACCGGTCGACACGAAGGCATGTCTAAACGACGATGTCTTGCCGGACAGGACAGCCGTGGGGAAGGGGTGGTTCGTGACGTACCATGCTTACGCGATGGGGTAGATGGAGAGGACATTGGGGACTAACTGCTGCGAGTATTTTTCGAAGTGGTGGCTGACTGAGGACGGCACGTGTCGGCAGGAGAGTGTTTTCCGGTATCCGATATTTCATTCCAGGCCAAGGATGTTTCTGGGGAAGGATTTGGCGTATATTCAAACAATGTTCTAAAAAACTGCATAAACGGCCTAAGTGTTGGGCGATGGTGAGCCAAGGCATTTTCTTGAGAATTGGTGGGAAAAATCGGATGGGCTCTAGGTGGCCAACTAGGCGGGCTAGGCGGTGCAATGCGGAGCTAGGCATTTTTTTTTTAATGAAATTAAAAAATAAAATAAAATAAATCCTATCTAAGTCTAAGTGGTTGAAAATTGTGAACTTGTTGTACATTTGTCATCCTACGATACTCCTTACTATGGTTATATGACATATATGCTTAATGTGTTTTTAAATTTTGGACTTGTTGGATACTCTTTTTGTATTTTATCATTCTTTTATTATCCTATCCATGAATTTCATACAAGTATAATTTTTTGTAAGTGTCAATATGCACTTATTTACAAGATATACAAGAAATTTACCTAAATCTGCCTAGGCCGCCTAGACCCTGCCTAGACCCCGCCTAGTCGCCTAGGCGCTAAGCGCTAGCCCACCGCCCGATTAGCGCCTAGCGTTTTTTAGAACCTTGTATTCAAATGAAGTGGATTGCGGCATCGGTGATGGAGAGGTTTGTAATCGACGTACAGGATAAGGATACGTGTCCTAAGCATATGTTATCCTTGACTCTCATAATGAAAGGTGGACTGCCCGTAAGTGCGAGGAGAAGGAGATTTGTAGCTGATGACCGGTGATTATGTGATGTTATTAATAAGATCCTAATTATTCTAAATTTCATATATCATTCTTAAATAGGCAAAATTGTTGTGACATTGATTACAATGTATATATGATTATATAAATTACTAGTACATTGTACTTAGGATATTAGAAGATTCTATTCGAGCATGATTTTATTAATTGGAAGTCAATAAACCCTTTTTTGTTTACTATAATTAACGGCACAAAGCATGAAAAATAATACACAAAGAATTCCTCAAGCCGTTAATACCTCTCTTTCTCTCTTTGCCGTACCCCTTAGAAAAAATAAGCCACAACACATTACTAACACGCTCCTATCAATGCTCTAATTAAGGAACTGAATCCTGTTCACAAGATTCATTGCAATCCAAAATTATTAAGAATGAAGAGTAAAATCAAGGTTAAAAAATAAACAGAAATTAAGTGTGTAAAGTTCATTTTCCCAATAAAACCAGCCTGTAAGAGTGGCGCCAAAGTTTTCATAAGCAACAGGAATTTGGAAGTAAAAAAGTCAACAATTTGAGAAGACAGGCAAATCCAATTCAAATCCCTCAGAAATCGTAAGACACTCACAGTCACACGTCCTCATAATCATCGTCGTCTACTCGTTCCGACACTAGTCGTCCGTGGTACAACCCTGTCAAGGGGAGACAGTTCAGTCCAGCCTATAATATATTGCATATAGTCATTTCAAATCTTCTAACTTTTGTAGTGCATTTTGAAGAAGTTTAGTATAAGTTCTGTATAACTTTAAAATCTCTCGTCTAAACACAGCATAAATTTCTACTTTATTTATCTCACGTCAAACTCAGAGTCACGCCTAGGAGTTGTTTTCTCTATGGTTGGCTTGTCTAACACCCCACCACCTGTGCCAAGCCTGGTGGCCGATGCTGTCATCAAGATGCTCCGATTTGGACTTTGTCTATGAAAACAATGTTTATCACCTGCTACATGATCAATAATAAAACCTTGAGTTAACCAACAACCCAAGCATGTTTACCCAGAAACATAGGAATGTAAAAGAGAAAAACTTATCTATGGCAGTGATACCACATCGATCGTTGGTACTTCAAGTCTATCCCGCGTTATCACATATTTTAACTTTCATATATGACAATACGTGATTGACTTGAGATAACGCCTCCGCAACACCATGTGCATGGAAATTTTCTTAATGTTAAAGAGTTCAAAATTTAGAGGACAAAAAATACAAAATTTGTGCCAGAGAAAATGCATAAAATAGTTTTAACAATCTCCACAAATGGATGCAAACTTGACGGAAATTACAGAATTAGTGCCTAAACTGAAATTTTGCTCAAATTTGGAAGAGCTAAGAAACAAAAAGTACCTGATTTGTTGAGATTGAATCCATGATTTGGCGAAAGATGGACTCGACCGCAGATGGCAGCCATGAGCCTCTCTCTCCTCTCTCACACACACACACTCTCTCTCTCTCTCTCTCTCTCTCTAAAAGTCTGAGTGTTTGTGCCACAAAAGACAAGAAGTTGAGATGTGTGGCATGTACACATGTTGTGTGGTCCGTGACCACTGCGGCACTGCCTTCGATTTTCTGATGGTGTTAATTAACGACACGTCGTATGAGAATCATTCTGTGGAAAATATCCGGTTCTGGACTTTGTATGGCACTGAGTCTCTGGGAAAGGAGAAAGTGTGATGAACATGGAAAGCGATGTTTAACCTTTGTTGCCAGGATTAGCAGTAAATTACTCACTCACTAAGAAAGTAACTGCGGCGCATGAGCTTGCGTCCATTGGTTTTCCGGAGATGAGTGATTCAGTTTGGATTGATCGGTCCCTATCTTCGTTGATTTATGTTTTGAACAATGATAGTCTTCTTGTAAAACTTACTAACTTAGTGTTTCACTTCAATTGCATACCCCAACAATTATGGGATGCATGTATTTATAATACTTTCATGATTACAGTTTGGATTTGAAAACCCTAGATACAAGGAGCGTTTGAAAATCAAAATACAAACAGAAAACCAAATAGAAGATTACATCCACATGTTCAGATTACAACAGAAAAACAATCAAACAAACAAGTCCTAGAAACTAGGAACGGCTGAGAGGATAAAAGTTTGATCCAAGTCAAACTCCTCAAGTTGCGGTGATTTCCTCAGCATACTGACTTCAACTAACACTTCTATGTCCTTGTTAAGTTTGTTGTGGTGGTGTTTGGGGTGATGCTTCCATTCGGTGGAGGTGTCTTTATGTTCTATCCCCGTTCACTACTAGTGTGCCTTCTTGGTGTTTGCCTCTCTGTAGGCTTTCCTGTTCTCTTTTGACTTCTGTGCCTTGGTACGTTATCCCTTGCTTCCAAAAAAAAATAAATAAATAAATAAAAAGAAAAGAAAGTAACTGCGTTGATTATATTACAGTTTAATTCTACGGCAAATATGATGTCTGCCACTATATTTTAATTTTTAAAAGCGCATATATATCCACTCGATCGTCTCACTCTGGCACTAACAATATTTGCAGATAGCCATGGAGCTCTTCTCCCTGCAATCTTTCCTCCTCCTCCTTCTCTCCCTCTCCTTCTACATCTACCACCACTTCTTCGCTTCGTCGAATAAGTACAAACACACCGGCTTCAAAAACTACCTGATTCTCGGAACCCTACCGGAATTCCTAAAAAACCGCCACCGGTTCCTCGAATGGACAACCGAAATCCTCACCAGCTGCCCCACCAGCACCGCCATCTTCAGCCGCCCGGTAAAAATCCGCGGCATCATCACCGCCAACCCTGCCAACGTCGAGCACATGCTGAAAACCAACTTCGAGAACTACCCGAAAGGCGAAAGGTTCATATCCCTTATCCAAGACTTTCTCGGCGGCGGAATCTTCAACTCCGACGGCGAGCTCTGGAAGGTTCAGAGGAAGACCGCCAGCTACGCCTTCAACACGAAATCGCTCCGGAACTTCGTTATGGAAAACGTTAGGGTTGAGATTGAGTCGAGGTTAATTCCGTCTCTGGACACAGCCGCCGAAACAGGACGCCGTTTAGACTTGCAAGATGTTTTGGAGCGCTTTGCTTTCGACAACGTTTGCAAGTTGGCTTTTAATGTAGACCCGAATTGTCTCGGAAGCGACGGCGGCGGAAAATCTGAGTCCACCGATTTCGATTCCACTCCCAATCCGGATCGGTTCATGCAGGCATTTGAAGAAGCGGCCACACTTATCTCCGGGCGATTTTTGTATGCGTTTCAGTTTATGCAAAAGATAAAGACGTTTTTGAACGTTGGATCAGAGCGGAGGTTAAAAGAATCAATCTCGACTGTCCATAACTTCGCGGATAAGATAATAAAGTCGAGAATTAGCGACGAACGGTCGGACGATCGTCACGATTTGTTGTCCTTGTTTATTGGTATTACCGAAAACAACAACTCGCCGGATTTTCTCCGAGACATCGTGATAAGCATCATTCTCGCCGGCCGAGACACGACCTCATCGGCTCTGACGTGGTTCTTCTGGCTCCTGTCGTCCAGACCTCACGTCGAGCGTGCCATTTTAAAGGAGCTCGAAATGATTCGGGTCCGAAACGGGAAAAGTATCGGCGATGTTTATGATTTGGACGAGCTCCGAGACATGCACTATTTGCACGCGGCGATTTCAGAGGCGATGCGGCTGTACCCTCCCGTACCGGTCGACACGAAGGCATGTCTAAACGACGATGTCTTGCCGGACGGGACAGCCGTGGGGAAGGGGTGGTTCGTGACGTACCATGCTTACGCGATGGGGCGGATGGAGAGGATATGGGGGACTAACTGCCGCGAGTATTTGCCGGAGCGGTGGCTGACCGAGGACGGCATGTGTCGGCAGGAGAGTGTTTTCCGGTATCCGATATTTCATGCCGGGCCAAGGATGTGTCTGGGGAAGGATTTGGCGTATATTCAGATGAAGTCGATTGCGGCATCGGTGATGGAGAGGTTTGTGATCGACGTACGGGATAGGGATACGTGTCCTGAGCATCTGTTGTCCTTGACTCTCAGGATGAAAGGTGGACTGCTTGTGGGTGTGAGGAGAAGGAGATTTGTAGCTGATGACCGGTGATCAAGTGTGTGAAGTTCATTTTCGCAATAAAAGCAGCCTATAAGATAATTACAGTGGCTCCAAAGTTTTCATAAGAAACAGGAATTTCGAAGTTAAAAAGTCTACAATTTGAGAAGATAGGAAAATCCAATTCAAATCCCTCAGAAATCGTAAGACACTCACAGTCGCACGTCCTCAGCATCATCGTCTTCTACTCGTTCCGACACTAGTCGTCCGTGCAACCCTGTCAAGGGGAGACAGTTCAGTCCTGTTCCGCTGGACGTCGTACGCCATTGGATCCAAGCACAAAATCAACCACTTGTGTGTGTGTGTGTGCGTGCGTATGTGTGTGTACACACAATGTATAATAATATGTGTGTGCATGTTATATAGGACTCGTCTACCTTTTGCTCATATATAACCGAAGAGTTTTTTATTAGAAACATGTTAGAAATGTTTATGGATGGTTTTGGTAATTTTTCTCATGGTAAGTTTTGAGTACATCTCATCGCCGCTTCACATCGAAGCTCCTGCGGCTCGTGATGGGCTGTTATTGGCAAAGCAAATGGGTTTACAAAATGTTATTCTTGAGAGTGATTCACTACATATTTCATCAGTATTGCAGTCGGTCTCTCCATGTTCATCTTTCATTGGGATCATTATGGAGGATTCGAAGGCCATGTTACTTGAGATCACTGGAGCTTATGCGACCCACGCTTGTTGCCAATCCAACTCTAGGTTGCTCACCGTCATGCCTGCTACGTCCTATCGACCACCTGCAAATGTTCCTGGACGTTTGAAGAACCCCCAGATTTTGTGTGTGACATTTTGCTTTCTGACAAATGTAATTGTTGATGTTGATTGGCTCTGTTAAAACTTGCCCCAACGTTTTGTACTTGGTGATGAATCTATTATGGATTCTCTCTTTAAATGAATCAAATGCCACAGCTTTTCAAAAAGAAAAATAAAAAACATGCTTCTTGAAATGCGTCGGGAATTTGTGTCGTGAAGAAGTTGTTTTTTCAAAGGGTAATGTTAAGGAGATCAATATTTTAAACTAAATTTGCAAACTAAATGATGTATCAAAGAACGGCTTCTTGCAATTTAAGCATGGTCCGAGAGAGCTACATTATTGGGATATCGAATAATTTAATAGGCAATTTAAACTAAATAAATAACATAATGTGACAAGGAACAAGGATTGTGAGATTAACTTTCTTGAATTCATAGCCACACAAATGCCGCTTTGTTGGATCATTCTTGTGCTCAGGAACTTTCTATTCATAATTGATTACGTATAGCTGCCTAAAGTGTTGATCCTTTAAGATTATCAATGCTAATAAATTTAGCAATGGATGATAAAGTGGTATCTCTAACATATTTGAAAATTTTCAAACGAAAATAGCATTGAGGTTAGGCCCAAAATATCAAAATTGATTTGATTTAATTTGATTCGGTCTAATAATTTTCGTTAAAATAGAATCGAATCAAACCAGACTCACCTCTATTATTTATTACTTTACAGTTGAAAACATATTCTTCCTTGTTAGAAAGCACTGCTCGATCATATAACCCATCTAATTACAAAAATCATGTTCCATTAATTTTTCCCACTCATATAAGGTCGGCAAGATGTATTCGTTTCTCCTCATTCGTGTTTCTGTGGATGCCTGGCACCGTAGAGCTCACGTGGTCCCCACACTCATCCAAATCCACATGGGACACGTCATTAATCGCATGATTCCCTTTAACCACCTTAAAATCCTGTCCGTTCATTTCACCTGGGTCCCACCAGCTAAAAATTTGATATTTCAGGAAGCTGGTACCATTACGTGTTAAACGCGATCCACAGCACAAAATCCAGAAAAAGCCGAAAGCGACACGCGTTTGACTCCGACCCAATCAGGGCCCGCCACGTGTACTACCCTCCACCCAGCACCGCAAACATCTCCCGCTTCCTTCCCTTCGATATCGGAGGCCCCGAAATTTGCTCTGGATTTTTCTTCCCAATTGCCGCTCGGATTTTGCGTTTTTTCGATTCTGTAATTTCCAAATCCGAATTTCCGTAAATTAATTTAATTTTTCCGAAATCCCGATACAAAAAATAAAAATTTAATTATACTGTTTTGAGATGATTCAACGGTTCGTTGACAACATCATCGCCGTCACCAAAGAGTGAGTTCCCCAATCCCCTTCTTTCAAATTGATTTGGTTCGAATTGATTTTGTAAAAAGATGTCGAATTCGGCTGTTTGGGATCGTTTTTGAATTTGGGTTTTCGAATTTGCAGGTCAGTGAAGACGTTAACGTACGAATCGCTGAACAATATCGTGCGGCTGATAAATGGAATTTCGGCTCTGTTGCTGACGTTTCTGCCGGGGAAGGCGAACATTCTCGAAGGCATTCATGGATGGGAGCTCAGGCCCACCTTTCGCGGGCCCAGATTTCCTCGCTGGATGGAGAAGTAAGTTTTGGGTTTTGATCATGCAAGAATTTGGAAGCTTATTGAATTCATAAGTTTTGAAAATTTGGAAAAATTTGGTTATCTGTATTGTGATTGTGGGAATTGGGATTATTTACGGGGAATGCATGTAATGAGTGTAATTTTTTTGAACGTATAATTGACTGAATTCAGAAATTTGAATTTTTTTTTTGTTACTTAGCAATTTATTTTTTTATTTGAATTGGGTTTGTTCATGATAAATGAATGGATAAGGGTGTAATTTTTTCGTGGCCAGTAGCTATTTTGTATGAAAATTTGACTGAATTCAGAATTTTGGAATTTATTATCGCTTGGCAGTTTGTTCTGTGATTGTGGGAATTGGGATCGTTCAAATGAATGTGTGTTTTTTCTGGTGGGAAGTAGTTGTTTTGTATGTGAAGTTAGTTCCTCTTATGTAGTATCTATGTATCTTCTTGTAAGAAGTGTAACGTTTCATGCATCAATATTTGTTGCTGAATGACATGTCCATTTTGCTTCATGCTTGTAGTGGGGTGTCCTCTTTCAATCGTTTTGTACACGAGCTTTCTGTGGATTCTGATTCTGATGGTTCGAACCTTGATTACGCATACGGAGATGAAGATAGTGATGATGGCATATCTCCTACATCACCATCCTCTCAAAGTTCAAGAGCCTCTCGGGCTTCTAGTTTCAGTAAGCGCGATAGGCGCTGGTCGTGGTGGATGTGGATCAGATACATATTTTTCTGGATTCTGTTTCCAGCAAGGTTTCTGCTTGGGATTCCAGTTCGCATTTTGCAATTGTCTTATACTAGGTCATCAAAAGCCTCTTCTGCCCCAGGAAGCAATGAGGCTTCGCAAACACACCCTATAAATAAAGTGCAGATTCTCAAGGATTACATTGTTCACCGATCCACTGATAGGAGACGTGGAGTCATTGAGGTCTGTGCACAGGCTAAATATGCCCTTTTAAAATAAGATGCATCATTTGTTTCCTCTTCCAATTTCTCATCTTTAATTTGTGCTTAACAGGATCTTCATCTAGCAATCGAGATATTCATAGAAGCTGTTTTTGATGTTGTTCACAAGGCAGCACATTTTGTTCTTTCCCCTTCTGTGGCTTTTAAAACACTATCAGGATGGTGTTCACTCAGCAGCGGTGGTGTTCAAGATAGCCACAGTAGTGATACAGAAGTTACTGTTCCAACAGCTACACTTGGAGAGAATGATCCAGCTCCTAAAGAAAGGAATACTTCATTTCAGCAGTCCCTAAATACCGATGCTCGGACTTGTCAGGATGTCATAACAGAGCTTGGGTAAGGCTTTTGGTACCACTTACTTGATCGTAGAACCTTTCATTTTTCGTTTGAATGTTTCACATGCTCTGCAAATTGCTCAATTTTTTTGTCTTTCTTAGGTACCCATATGAAGCTATTCATGTGATCACTAGTGATGGCTATGTTCTTCTCTTGGAAAGGCTCCCGAGGTATAATCAATATTTTTGGCTTTTTTTCCTTCCATAGACAATAACTTTTTTTTTTAATATATGGTGTCTAATATTGTATTGTGATGCTGCAGACGTGATTCCCGGAAAGCTGTTTATCTACAACATGGAATTTTGGATTCATCTATGGGGTAAGTTATTTCTTCTGTCCTTCCTTCCCCAAGTGTTCTAGAAACTATGCCTTAAATGTTGAGTGGAGGTTTACTTGTGGCGCTGGCTATCAGAATGATACATAGTCCTTCCTGCTACAATTTCTCTATGATTGCTACATTCTCATCTTTAAAAAGAAAAAATAAACAAAAAATAAACAAAAAAACGATTTCAGAATGGTATAACTTATTTACTTTTTGAAAAGGCAATTGGCTCATTATTAGTAGTGTTCTTATCTCTTGTATTTTGCACCCTTTGAAAAAAAATTTGTTTTATATATAGTGAGCTTTATGAATGATTTTTAATGGGTTGTTTCCTTTGTCCAGTTGGGTGTCTAATGGGGTTGTTGGTTCACCGGCATTTGCGGCTTATGATCAAGGTTTGCATGTTTCATTCAAAAGTATATGCTTGTAGTACAGACAGTTTTATTGGTTAGAAATATGCTAATGCTTTGTATTTTTACAGGATATGATGTTTTCCTCGGTAACTTTCGTGGCTTGATTTCTAGGGAACATGTTAACAAAAATATCTCATCACGACAGTAAGTTGACATATGCATGTTATATTGTTTATGAAATAATCATCCTTGATTCCTTCTGACTTAAATTGTCAACAGGGGCGGAAAGAGGTTGCAATATTTCAGATTTGTTAACACAAATTAGCAATTTCCCTAAAGTACTTTAGTACAAACTGAGTTACTGAGCTTAGCAACCAATGCAGGTATTGGCAGTACTCCATCAATGAGCATGGGACTCAGGATATTCCTGCAATGATAGAGAAGATTCACCAAGTTAAAACTGCTGAATTGAAACTTAGTCAACCTGACGTTGACGAAGAAACAAATGATGGTCAACCGTACAAACTCTGTGCAATTTGCCATAGCTTGGGAGGAGCAGCAATACTTATGTACGTTATAACACAGAGAATAGAAGAGAAACCCCACAGACTCTCTAGACTGGTTTTACTGTCACCTGCTGGCTTCCATGGTGATTCCACCTTTATGTTCACAGTTGTGGAGAATGTCTTTCTTCTATTGGCTCCTCTTCTGGCTCCCCTTGTGCCTGCCTTCTACATACCAACCAGGTTCTTTCGCATGCTTCTGAACAAGTTGGCGCGAGACTTTCATAACTATCCTGCTGTAGGAGGACTGGTTCAGACCCTGATGAGTTATTTTGTTGGTGGGGATAGCTCAAATTGGGTTGGTGTGTTAGGGATACCACATTATAACATGAACGACATGCCGGGCGTATCATTCCGAGTGGCTCTCCATCTTGCACAAATCAAGCGTGCTGGAAGGTTTAGAATGTTCGATTACGGGAGTGGTTCTGCTAATATCGAAGTGTATGGATCTCCAGAGCCATTCGACTTGGGGGAGTACTATGGGCTTATTGATGTTCCAGTTGATCTGGTTGCTGGACGAAAGGACAAGGTAATTCGGCCATCAATGGTCCGAAAGCATTATAAGTTGATGGATGAATCAGGTGTTGATGTATCATATGGTGAATTTGAGTACGCCCATCTGGACTTCACATTTTCGCACCGAGAAGAACTATTGGCGTATGCCATGTCACGCTTGCTGCTTGTTGAGCCAACTCCAAAGCAGCAATCCAGTCAGAAGGCCGTAAGGTTGAAGAAGAAAACCCCGGCCAATAGTTGATTAAGTTCGAGAAAGCCCATGCATATCCGTCCTTTTTTCTTCAGGATCTGGCATGTGCTACATACTCAGGTGCAGATTACTGATAGTCTGTTATAGATGATTGAATATGTCGATACGTCTTACCCCAGGGCAGTCAGTTGTGAGAGTTGCTGCCATGGTTTCTTCTCCGCCTATTTTTTCGCCGAAAGTTAACTGTCCGAAGGCATGAAAATACCTTGGATTGAGCTTTGTACAAAAACCCATATGTGTATATTTTGTAATGGATCTAAGAATCATGTTGTGTGTCTTGTAACGTTAATACTGCATAGGATGTTTTGTCAAGCGAACGCTCGAACATTTCCTTTTACATTGCAAAACTCCACAAACAATTAGTACTATGAGAACTGTTTACATTGTGTTGGTATGACTTCGTGTGTTCGACCGAGCCCTATTTCTTGCTGGACTCTGCATATCATTGCCGGGAATCCATTTCGTTCGGTTTTGTGTTCCCGAAACCCTAATACTCGTGGGGATTCCGAGTCCTCTCAATTGTTGTATCGGTCGGGGCATACCGCTGTGGTGTTGAGGCCTTCCTATAAGCCTGTTACAGTAAGCACGAAAGTCTCGTATCATGTGTTTAGCGAAATAGTCGGTTTTGAGCAAGTGCAGATGAACAAGCGCTTCGTTGCAGATGAACAAGTGCAGATGATTACTTAGTCATACCTTCGCTCGGCTGACCGGAATTAGTTGATCGTGATACATAGCAGATATCGTTCCCTGAAAGCAGGCAAAGGTAAATTAACCAACAAGTCTGATCACGCTTACTTGATCAGGAAAGTTAAAAACTGATAAATTTGTTGAACTGAAACTTGCATGAAGCTAACTTTTACCTCCCATGCCGGAACATATGTTTCGTTTTGGGTATGTTGTTAGAACTAGCAGCAAGCTCCAACCCACCATATTATCAGTGAGGTATTATACTTGCAGACTTGCAGTTGCAACGGCTGTTCCTGCAACATAGACACCAATTAATTTTGTTCCACACTGTCCTGAGAAATTTCTTTGGCCGGCGCAGGGCGCAGAGGACCAAGGCCTTTCGGTCTTTTGAGTACCTGAAAAGGGCCGCGGAATGCTTAGGTATTCCAGTTTGGATCTGTGTCTTGCCCCCAAGTCTCATAAATTTCTGGACGTTGGAAGTTGTTGGAACTCCCGGCGAAACTGGGAGTTGCAGGAAAAAACCAACTAGGCCTGCTAGTGTTTCTTGCAGTATATATAGCCGCCTTCAGCGTTTCGTATTCCTGAGCTGATATTTGTGACAGCTTGTTCTCATGGAGTCTTCCGGTAGGCATTGTTTGGTGTCCAGAACTTTCTCCTTCTCGCGATTTTCGTTGAGGGGAAGCCTGCAAATCCACAGAAGCTATTCTTAAGGATTAAGTTCCTAAACCAAAACTCAAAACAAGATTTAGTTCGTGCTGATGGGAACGGAGAGACTTGCATACGATTTACAGCCCTGACACAGAAACATTTTAATAGTAACCGCAAGAACACGTGACATACATGTCGAAGTGGTGTCAGTATCCACTCAAATTGATGTTGTGTTATGACTACAAGAGACGAATAATGAACGTACGATTTACAGATGTGACATGAAAACATTTTAATAGTAACTGCAACACCATGTAACATAGATGCTGAAATGGTGTCAATATCCACTCAAACTAAAATTCATGACCTGTGTGACACGTTGAAGTCGTGTAATGAATAAGAGAGACAAATAGTGAACGTACGATTTACAACCGTGACACAAAAACGTTTTAATAGTAAATGCAACACCACGTGACATACATGCCAAAGTGGTGTCAGTATGCACTCAAATTATAATTCATGACCTGAGTGACATGCTAATGTTGTGTAATGAATAAGAGAGACAAATAGTTAACGTGTGATTTACAGCCATGACACAAAAACGTTTTAAAATAGTAACCGCAACACTACATGACATGCATGCTGAAGTGGTATTAGTATCCACTCAAACTATAATTCATGACTTGCGTGACACGCTGATGTCGTGTAATGAATAAGACAAGCAAATAGTTAACATACGAATTACAACCGTGACACAAAAACATTTTAATAGTAACCGTAACACCACGTGATATACATGTTGAAGTGATATCAGTATCCACTCAAACTATAACAAATGCCCTGCGTAACTTGCCAATGTTGTGTTATGAATACAAGAGACGAATAGTAAAACTTCCGATTTGTAGCATTGTCACCATACATTTTGATTATAACCGTAACATCACGTGACATATATGCTGAAGTGGCACCGCTAACCCACTTTAACTGTAAGTTGTGCCCCGAGTGACATGCCGATGTCGAGATACCCCTTACCAAATCATTGCCATTTTTTTTGGACCCAAAGTCAAGCCGAACCCAAGTGAGAGTCTATAAATTTGCCAAAAGCTCAAATAAATAAGCCCACAACCATGGTAGGCCTATTGGATCTTTTAACCGGTTCACTGACCCGTCCGACTCGACGCATTTACAAGTCAAGAGATCCACGTCCACCGTCTGGGCGCAGCTTGAAACTTTCCCGAGAAAATCAAGGAAAGAAAGCGAGAGCGAAAATGGCAGGGAATGCTTGGGCCTATGTCCGGATCATCTCCGGCACCATTCTCGGTGGCATTCTCGGCTTCTACGTCATGGACCGCGCCGAGAAAAGCTACAAGGTCACTGGAATATTCATATTCTTAATTCGCTCTCTGTCTCTGTTTGGTTTCCGGGAATTCCTCGGAAAAGAAAATTACAGCTTTCTCAGCTGCCAAACACTGGATTAATAGCATGAATTTATCGAATTTCTTATTTATTTGTTAATCTGATTTATTTGTTGGGTTTTCTGTGATTGCAGGAGAAAGTGCAGGAGAGGCTGAGGAAGTATGAAATTGAAATGAAGAAGAGAGAGAAATTGGATGAGTTTGAAGAGTCTCAGTAGATTTTATCTGTGTTTTATCTTTTTATTTTTCTTGTACTTCTGCTGAAAAATTGTAGTTTTGGACCATTTTCAAGGCTTATAACATTTGTATTTGAAATTTTCTGTTTTTGGACAATATGACAAGCCAATTACGGACTGCTATTACTACTTTAGAAGCTAAAAATAATAAAATGATGGATAGTTAAGGTTCTAAACGATACTCTGCGCTAGTCGAGTGGCAGATTGGGACCTATCGTTTGGCGGGATCCTAAATATATAATTGTATTATGATACATTATCTAAGTATTTATTAAGTCGAGTAGATTGTAGTAATGGTCCCTTAATTTTAACTCAATTGGAGTCATGGTCCTTTAATTAAAAATTCATTATCATTGTCCCCTCAACTCATCAAAACGTGCAGCTATAGTCTCTCAATTAAAAAGCAATTACCATTAGTCCTTTAACTTTAATCCAACTGTAGAAATGGTCCCTCTAACTTTAATCCAATTGGAGCAATGATCTTTCCAACATAACTCGTTTTACAAAATTCTGATAAAGTCAATAAAAATGACCATGGCAAAATGATAAAGTTACTTACATTTTATTGAAATAAGTTTCTTACATTATTGACAAAATAAAATGCAAAATAAAAGTTTAACACTTTTTTGTTTAAGTGAGAATCGCAATCTAAACGGATGATTAGGCGGGTTTAGATGGGTGCATAAGGACACTAGGCGGACGCCTCAACAATCTAGGCGTACTTTCTTAATTTTTAAACGCCTAGAGACCAATGAGAACAATCGCTAGCCGCAGTACCTAGGCAGAGCTTAAGCGGCGCTATGCAAGAATTTTTAGAACAGAGCTGATATACCTTCAGCTATATCGTTTTGCAGAACCCCGACGCTAACATAAATGGCACACTGGTATTACTCAAATATATAGAATGGAGAACCAATACAGCACACAAACAAATCTTTGTTCTCGCAAAATGTCCAAACGAAGAAAAGCAGGAGTGATTTTACAACCACGTCCTCGACACCCGATTCGGGTGTCCGAGCAGGCAAAACTGAAAACTGGAAACAATAATCTGAACCAGAGCTTCATTCCCATATACAAGACGCGTGACTTTTCTTCTGCGCTGGAAGGCCGCCTCTGAAGGAAGTTTCACGCGTCCAAGACGCCATCTTATCAAGCATCAAGAATCGGGGAGCACTCTTAAGGATGAGTGTCGCGAGCCCGCACACAATCGTATCAAGCATCGAGAATTGGGAAGCGGTGTTCCGGCCACTTGGGATACGCACGCTTGTACAGACTCATGCATACGGTGTCACTCTGCTGGAGGACCCCATTGAAGATGCATTTCAATGCCCCTGAAACAAAATCGTACGGAAGAAAACGCACTTAATAACTAACTAAATGCAACGACAGAGCACAATCGATTCTGAACCATTTGGGCATTGTCGGAGATTTCAGCGACTTGAAGAAAATTCGATATAACAAAAAGCGGTGAGAGGAAAAGAGAAACAGATTGCTATGTAATCTTACCGTGTGTACCAAGAGGCTCCTTGATGCGACCACGGCGACCACATTTGGTCCATACTTCAACAGGCTGCCACCACCAAGGACATTACAAAACATACCCGTAGTGATTGTATTGAATTTTCTTGATACAACAACACAAATTTAAAAAATAAAAGATTATCTGCAATCTCACCTTGAACCATTTAACGTCCTCTGGGTTATGGAACATGTATCTTACAGAAGCTTTCAGTTTTGATACTCGTTGAGGGTAACTGCATCAAATATGCTTACGGTTCAATACATCAAAACTTTCGAAGGAAAACATTTGTACCACAAAGGTCGCCACCCCCAAGAGTCAAGAATGAATCATACCCAGTTAAAGTAATCTTCTTTAGTATAATTCGGTCAGGGTCAACGCATTTCAGTGCACCTACAGCAGCTACAGTAGGTGGAGCGGCCACCCCTTCAGAACTCTTCAAAGCTATCAAGGGAAGTGGAGGAAAAGAAATTGGGGCATAAATCGAAGCCATGGAAAAACGTCCTGGATGTAGAAATCTCTCCATCTTATGCTTGTCTGAGTTCATGTTGTCAGTAGAATATATTGGCCTGCAAAGTGAAGAGCGAAAGCGTCAATCACAAAAATTCAATAAATAGAAGAGTTGGTGGCATCACAGACACTACCTGGCAATGAATTGGCGAAAGCCAGCATGAAAAATTAATTCGTCCTTGGATTTGATAGGAGCACTGTACGTGTCGTGCTTCTTTATGCTGCAAAACATAGATCACTGGGAATCATGAGAAAACTTACCCTTAAGAAGACAACAAAACTGCAATTTTTTCTCAGCTACAAGATACCTGAAATGAAGTACAGACATCTTGGACTCATGCTGCAAAAGACCACATGCTATGACAGGAATTGTCTTTGCATGCATACATAATTTAGAAGCGACACTAGTTGGCACTTCACTAATATACAGCCTTGCATATGAGCTAGCTGTGGCACACTCATCACTGTTTTCTTGGTCCATTGCTAACGCTTTAGCAAGGACATTTTTCTGTGTTCTGTTGAAATTATCGAATGCAAAGATTCTGGCATACTCTGCAGGCAAAGACTCCTGAAGTTCATCATAGACGTACGTCAGTTTAACAATTGATGCAAATAGATGGACGACTATTACACAATTACAAGAATATTACTTTGGGATCCCATGAAGAGGTCCTGAAGGACTTCAGGCCCCTATATTTAGCAAAACGTTTTCTTGCTGGAATGTCTAATGGTGTATCCACTTCATCCGGGAATTCTGAAACATAACATATAACCATTATAAGCCAACTAGAGAACACAGCACTAATACATTGGCTTAAAGGTGCTACAGACAGTTTTTATAATATAAATCATATAGCAGCAGAAAGAACATAGCTAAGTACCCTCATCATCAGCATGTGCTTGTTTTATTTTTCGGATCTCATTCTCCAACTGTTCCTTAGTCAGGTTTTCACCTTCCTGTAAAACAAATACTAAAAGGGTAAGTCTTATAATGTACAGAACTCGAACAAACAAAATAAACTTCTTAATGACAGCACATAAATATTACCATTCTGACCAGTACAAGTACAGCGACAATTGAATTCTTACAGACAAATACACATTGTGTCCTTTTCCTTTTTGAAAAATTTACTTAAACCTTAAATGATCGCAGATGAATTCTTTACATATTAATGAAAATGTTCATAGATAGAGAAAGAATCAACGACAGAGAAAAACTCGTGAGTGAATCCTCCTATGCAACATTCTAATTCAAACAACTATGGTGAGTGGTTTGTAGTATGTCAGTGACTCAGGTTCCCCGGAGAAACAATAGGATTCTGACCATTAAGAAGTAATATTTGACCAAAAGCAACTGACCAGAGTTTACCTTTGCGATTCCATGGCTAGAGGGTGTGGTTGGTGTTTTGATATTCTTAAATCTTACGGTTCTTAAAATAGTGTTCCGTATTAATTATTGTGCTTCATGTTAGATCAGAAACACTTTCAATGAGAACAGAGAGACTTGACTAATTCTGGTAACACAATAAAGATCACTTGATGCACAAATAATATACATGTTAACCTCACCATCATCACCGAATCAATATCAGTTTCTCCATCAGCGTCCCTTATTGAAGCTTGATCGTCACTCTCATCTGAATAATTATTGTCATCTTGACCAGGATAACCACTGTCCCTCTCATCCAATACCATACCATCAGCTTCATCATCAGTACTTGACTCCTCTTCATCTGTATCATCCACAATCCAAGCAGCCTGCAAGAACCGAAATCATGCCTCTGATATATCACTAAAGTTTGTCCATTACCTCAACACGAACAAAGAAAGATGTGACTAACATATAAGAAAGAAACATTCAGACTCGTGAGAACTGACAAGAAAAAAAGCAGACCTGGTATTCTGAAGTGCCTCGAGGAAGAGCCCTCTTTTTCTTCTTTTTTTGCTTCTGACTTTCTTCAGCCTCAGCCATTTCTGCTTCTGTTGGCCATGTCTGACAAAAAAGAATTTATGTTTGAGTCAAGTTGTAACTTGTCCCACAACCAGTCCAATAATTCACCAAACCTAATAGTAAATTTAAGAAAATCCAAAAGTATATCATACTAGCCAAGCAGTATAGGACTCTGAAGTCTGAAAATGCTCTGATGAAAATTTTTAATAGCATGACATTCTACTTTCATAGTTCATGCAATTCCACTGAAATCCCCCTATTTTTGTTTTATTCTTGGATTAGCAATAATGTAATATACAAGCCATATTCTTAATATCAACCCACATTTATGTTAATGGAAATAAGTAAGACATAATTAATAGAACAATATGTAATCTTGTTACCTGTTCACCTGCAAGGGGATCAGGAACATTCTCAACTAGTAAAGCCTCCTGCTTCATAGGATCGGGAACCAAAGAACGAAGGACCTTGAAGAAGAAAAAGAGAACAGAAGGAACTTGAATATTAAAATTTCAAATGAGAAACACTTCACAAAATAAATTAATCACATCAAATCTTATCATTAAAAAGGAAATAATTTATTCTAGAGACATCGTACTTGTATACAAATGAAAAAGCTAATACCTCTCTATCACCCACTTCATCTGAGTCCATGGCATCTTGCTCTTTTCTTGCATTCAAAGGAAATGGATCCTTGAGAATTTCCATTTTGGACAGCTGGAAATCCCCGGCGCCGGAAACATGAACCTGATATAAAGTAAAATAAGACAACTTCCAAATCATGTGACCAAGGACAAGTCTTTGGATGAGCTAATCACCAGTTGGTTCACAGAAAGACTGCGAGCACGTATATATCCAGTAAGAAGAACGGTGCACTTTCCCAAACTGGAATCATCTGCCACCATATCAACCTATCAAAATACAAAATGTGTTGTTACACTGATGAAACTAGTTGTTCTTCTACAAGGCGAATATGCCTCAACGAGCTACAAAAACTTCACCCCTAAAATTTCTTATGGTTTCCACCTCTACCTAAAAAGAATGATAGCAAAAACTTAAATGAACACCTTCTGGGCCATCAGGTAAGGCCGTTGACTTCGCCAGTGAGGAATTGAAAGCCTTTGTTCCTTAAAGAGCCACATGAACTGCAATTATAGTAAGATGACAAGGGAAATCTATGAGAGGCATCAAATTATGTAAAATATGAAACAAAAAAATGTCATTTGAACTGTAACCCACTCTGAATTTTAACTTTGAAAGCATTAGCCTAAGATAAAGAATCTAGAGTCAACAGTTACCTTGTGCAAATCATCCTTTGTATCAGCTGGATAATATTTACAATCCTCGGGAAATTCAGAAGCAAGACTAGACATACATATTTTCTTAGAATCATGTCTTCTTTTCACATCAGCAGGTAGATCCTATATGCACGAAACATCGAAAAGAAAGAAGAATAAATCCTATGTCAAGTTGAGCACAACCTTTCCTATTTTCCTAGTATTTCCAGGAATATATAAAGCATATGGACAACATACACGAATTAGCACCACAGTGCTTGGTAAACCAAGGGACCTAAAAACAGAAAGACATTGACTTCCAAAGGAGTCAATGTAGTCAGACGTGCTTCCTTCACGTAAAGAGCTCGCTGATGCCACAAAAGCAATGAGATCAGCAACCTACAAGTCAAAGAGTTTACAATGTCAGAAAAAACACCAGCAAAATTAGGAAGAGTACACAAGTGTCAGACTTTTTTACCTTAGCCATTTCCATACATGTTGGAAGATCGCCATGAGGTGCCTTCAATACCTAAAAAATTACATGAGTTGGATACAATTATTCACATCAGTCATCAATGTTAATTACTCAGCCCACACAAAGCATTTATATGAGAGTCATTCCATTAGAATTTAGAATACAGCAGCAGAGGCAGGGTACCGTTGTTCTGAGCTTGTACTCGGGAGAAGCAACCGTTGGAAATGCGGCTTCATAACCTTGTGGAGATAGCAACGATAAAAGATCCCCAGCAAGGGAATTTAGGTTCACATCAGCAGAAAGTCCGAACAAAACCTGCCATTGTTGAAAGTTAGAAAGATAAGAAAGCTGATAAAAACATCCTAACTGTATATTAAATTATTAATCCACTCGAAACACTTTCCTCCATCAATTCCAACTGAAAAACAAAAACTCACAATGACACGGGGAGGACTTGCTGATCCACTCGAAGCCCTCTTCTCTTTCAAAACAGCCGCCCTCTTCTGCTCCCGAAGCTACAAAGTATCGAAATTGTGAATTTTGTGGCAAAATTGTGAATTAGACATCCAATTCATACATACATACCGAAAGCCGAAATGACAGAAAGACGAAATTTTGAAATCAATTACCATCTTGCTCCGCTGAACGCGAGAAGCTCGAGCTCCCTTAGTGACATTGCGCTCCGGTTTACCGATCCTACTCTTCTCTGAAACACCAAAAACACTCCCTTTACACACAGCGATTGCAATTCATAGCAGTTTTTTTAAATTTTCGACGAAAAGGAGGTTCAATCAAAAGGAAGCGTGAGAAAGTAGAAGCATATAAAGAGAGAACCTGAAGTTTTGTGGAGATTGCGAGAAGATTTGGAGGCGAAGCGCGTCTTGTGCTGCTTATTCACTTGAGCTCGCGAGCCTCCCATCACGACGCGGGGAAACGCTGCAGGCAGCGGCGAGTGCAATAGCGATTAGGAATATAGCGAGTAAACAGCACCGCTGAGCTGTATATATATTAGATATATATATATATAGAGAGAGAGAGAGAGAGAGAGGAAGCCATGGGTGGAAAAAGCTTACTCGCCGCCGCAGTCGATCACTCAGTGCCGTGCCTCCAAAAGAGAGGGAATGGTGGAGAAGAACGGAGGGAGAGAAGCAGAGAGGCGGTACTATCTTTATGAAATTTCGGGCTTCAATTTCTTTCAACGTAGGGTTGGGCAGTGCTTCCTCAAAACGCAGCGTTTAACTAACTGCACTTTGGCTAAATCATGGTTTTAAACTAGGAATTGTTATTAGCACTTCAAAAAGTTCATTTTACACTCCTCACAAATGTATTTTTCTTTCTAATTATAGATAATTTGGAGTGCTAATAACAATTCCCTTAAACTATAGCATATCTAGTTTTAGCGGAATAATGCTTCGTGATGTGAGTGTATTCATTGAGATTTTGAAAGATTTTAATGGATTTATAAATTTATGGATTTTAATAGAGTTTAATCTAATTCTCTCAAAATCTTAGGTTGAGCAGGGCGGAGAGCAACGACTAGTTAGAGAAAGGGCAAAGGAGAAGCTAAGGACAAAGGAGCTGAGTCATGGAGCCAGAGGGGGCAAGTTGAGGTGATTAGTTGGGTTTGTGCGTGGTTTGGAGGAGTAAGATTCTCTTTCCTCCTATTCACATCTCATTATCTCTCCTCCTTTCACTTATTATTTTTTATTTTCTTTTGACTATTAAAAAATTAACACAAAATATTGATATAACTTAATCATAACTCTTTAAATAAAAAGAAAAAGAAACTATGAGGAAAGATAATTCTACCCCTGGTTTGGGTGGTGAATCGAGGCAATGGGGCAGATACCAAAATCGTGAGGGTCTCAACTCTTGGCAATTCATGAGGAGACACATGGGCGGAGACCAAGAACGGCGGGAAATTGAACCGAATTAGAACTGGTCCTGTCCACTCCGATTCCACTCGGTTCTCATAGTCAAAATTAATTAAGAAAAACCGATTTGTATTGAAACCGTAAAAGAAAACCGGTTCAATCCGGGTCAAAACGCTGCGTTTTGGCTTAATGATTGGAATATTCTGTAGATATAAAAGGCGCGAGACCCGGAAAAAGAAACGACCGTTGAACTGAACACAGTCGCAGAGTAACCGGAAAAGAAAGAGAAATGGAGGATTCCGGTGCGATCCTCTGCCAAATCTCAACCTACAAGGACATGCTCGACCAGGTACACTCCATCTCCTCCGCCATCTCCAATGCCAGTCAACGTTTCCATTCCCCCAATTCTCCCCCTTTTTAGTACCGCATCGGCATCCATCGAAAAAGAAACTTCTTGCGATTGTGAAATCAGGTAAACGAAGAAATCGAAGCGAATATTCAGATAACGCGGGAGATCGAGTCGGAGATCGTCAAATGCTCCGAAATCGAAACCGCTCTGTCCGCTAAAGAATCCGACCTCACCAAGACGCTCTACCTTTCGCACTTTGAGCTCACCGGACTACTCGCCGTCGCCAGTAAGTTCCCTTCCCAGATTATCTCGTTTGATTACCGTTAATTGTAGTATTATTAGCTAGCCAGTCACTTAATTTTGTGATTTATTTGTGTATTTAATTAATAGAGGATTTGAGGAAATCGGTTGAGGTTTTGGAGAAGGAATTGCATTGTCTTAGAACGAAGCGCGATCAAACTCTTTGTAGAATCCATGACCAGCGGTATATAACGAACATTTCAGTTTCGATTTGTTACGAATTTAAGGATTTCGAAAGAACTTAGGAGTGTAATTGATATCGGCATTTAAGGTACTAATGGCCAGCTGAATGATTTGTTTTGTTACAGGGAAAGGTTTTTCGCATTGTGCTTAGAGTTCCAGAAGGACATTGAGAATGGTAACGATAACGAATTACAAGCTCTTATGTCGGAAAAAGAGTTCCTCGAAAATGAAATTCGCTTATTGGAAGAGAAGAACAATGGTCTGAAGAACTCAATGCTGGCATTTGTTGAAGGAATTCTCGAAGATCTTAATAGTTGCAACTCCGGTACAGATACCTTTACCTATTTTTGCACATTTTAATTTGTCCTGTCAATAGTTTGTATTAAACACATATATCACTCTTGTAGTTGAATCTAGTAAGTTATCCAGTTCAATTGTATGCACTGAACGAGCCCCTAACATTATCATGCCGCTTTCTCTTCCGGTTAAGATGTCAAAAGAGCAAGAGAATAGGAATGGAAGTGCAATGGGTTTTTTATATGAAAGTACTATTGGAAGAAGTTATGCCATAAATCAAGGATTTGCTTTTCCATGTTTTCTGATTTGCTTTTCCATGTTTGCTGCTTTCCTTTTCCTTGTTTTTCGGCTTCTGTTTCTTTTCCTTTCTTCCGCTCATTTATATGAGCTTTCCTTGTACTTTGTTTCACATATACAAAATATAGACATTCAAAATTCAATATGGTATCAGAGCAGTGATCTCTATCGACCTGCTTCTGAGTACCGTCTTCCTGTTTCCCTTTCTTCTCCATCATGGCTGAAGAGAGCTCCGTGCATGACGAAGAAGTAAACTCGCATGCTGCGTCTTCTTCATCTCATCTAGATGTTGATATCAATCCAAATCAACGTCTCAGTTCGGTCCTACTAAATGAGTTCAACTATCTCCCGTGGGAGAGAGCTGTCTCCCTTGCGTTAGGAGGACGATCGAAGCTTGGTTATGTTAATGGCGTGATTCCAGCACCTGATGTGTCCTCATCCGATTACAATGATTGGCTGTGCAAGGACCAGCTGGTCATGTCATGGCTGCTCAACTCTATGGATCGAAAGATTGCAGAAATCTTCAGTTATGCGGAATCTTCATACGTTCTCTGGAAAAATCTCAAAGAGATGTATGGAAATCAGAATAACGCAACTTGAGTGTTCCAGCTAAAGAAGGATATTGCTAGTCTACAACAGGAAGGGAACTCGTTTGTGCATCATCTTGGCAAGTTGAGCACCATGTGGAATGAGTTGAATGTTTATCGGCCACACACCATTGACGCTGCCATGTTGATCAAGAGAGCTGAGGAAGATAAAATCTTTCAGCTTCTAGCAAGTTTGAGCTCTGAATACGAAGATCTCAGGAGTCATGTTCTCATGAATCCTGAACTTCCTTCCTTCTCAAGTGTGTGTGCCACTATCCAAAGGGAAGAAACTCGCAGAAAAATCATGACCGTGGAATTAAAGTCAAATATACCAGAATCTAAGGTATATTTCTCAAATCACAAGGCTAGTGAAGAGAGGAGATATAAAGGAAAGAAACCCACTGTGAAGTGTAGCTATTGTGATAATGGTGGACATACACGAGATCATTGCTGGATTCTCCATCCTGAACTAAGGCCCAAGCATTCGAGGGACAGCAACAAGAGCTTCATTAGAGGAGCACACAACTCATCACCCAAGGCAAATCATACCATGACCTCTCATTCCGAGGAAGCACAGATGTTCACCTCTAATCCGGCCATGCTGATAAATGAATTTGCTGCCTTCCTTCACAAGAAACAAGGTGGTGGGGAGAATGAAGGATCAACCAATCATGTTGACAACAAACCAGCTGCTCTACTTGGGCAGTTTGCTGGTTTTTTGGCTGGGAAAAAAGGCGTGACACAACAAGATATTCCAGGTATCTTACGATCCTTCTCAACTGCTCTTAAAATAGGTAATATGCATGATTATTGGATTATAGATTCAGGAGCCACTGATCATATGACCAACAAGTCCACAAATCTGTATGATTTTAAAAAACTTTCACGTCCATCCCAAGTGTCAGTTGCTATGGCAAGGGTGCCATGGTTGTAGGGAAAGGAAAAATACATTTGATCTCTAGTAATGTCGAGTCTGAGGCCCTATATGTTCCTTCATTCCCTTTTCAGCTTTTATCTGTTGGAAAAATCACAAACTCACTAAACTGTACTGCCATCTTCTCTAAAAAAACTGTGATTTTTCAGGATATCACCACCAAGAAGATGATTGGTGAAGGTTTTTTTCTAAACGGCCTTTACTATCTTTTCCAGCATGCTCAAACTCCCAAGGCTTTTCAAGTCACCTCAAGCCTGATTCAGGAACAACAACTTTGGCACCGACGCCTTGCACATCCTTCTAATAAAGTCCTATCCTTTTTGTTTCCAAACCTGTGCAAGGTTACAAGTTCTTGTGATGTGTGTCATTTTTCTAAATTCACTAGATTACCTTTCACCTCCTCTCTATCTAGGGCTAGTAACCCTTTTGAAATCGTGCATTCCGATGTTTGGGGACCAGTTCTAGAGTCCTTTGACGGATATAAATACTTTGTAACCTTTGTGGATGATTTCACAAGGATAACTTGGTTATATCTTTTGAAATTTAAAAATGAAGTGTTGGAAGTTTTTCAAGATTTTCATAGACTTGTAAACACTCAATTTGCTTCAAATATTCATGTCTTACGATCAGATAATGGCTCCGAATATATGTCCCATAATATGTCTCATTATCTAAGCACACATGGCATACTACATCAAACCAGTTGTGTTGGAACACCCCAACAAAACGGGGTAGCAGAAAGGAAGAATAGAGACCTACTTGAAAAAACTAAGGCCCTGATGTTTCACTCGAATGTGCAGAAAAAATTCTGGTCTCAAGGTGTTCTTACTGCTGCATATCTTATCAATAGATTGCCCAGTAAGGTTTTGAATTTTAAATCACCCTATGAGATTCTAAAAGGCAGACAAATCGATTTGTCACACTTACGAGTGTTCGAATGTACATGCTTTGTTCACATTCAAGCACAAAAACGTGACAAGCTAGAACCACGGGCTGCCAAATGTGTTTTCTTGGGCTACTCTTCCACTCAAAAGGGTTACAAATGTTACAATCCCGCAACTAGGAAAATGGTTGTTTCAAGAGATGTAAGATTTGAGGAACCAATGCCTTACTTCACTCAACCTCTGGACTACTCTCAAGAGGGGGAGAACATGCTTGACTTGTTTCCAATACCATATCCATGTAAAGAAGACGCAACGGGTGTCATAAGGGACCAAATACTGAATGAGGTCCATTCTCAGTCTCACAACCTGCAGAACACACCACCAGTGGCACCTGATGAACTTATCTTATCTGAACCCTCAAGAAGTCCTTCCAACCAAGAGACTGCTCAACTACCAGTGGTTCAACCTCCCACAGTTCGTCGAAATCCTTCCCGTGAGAGGAGACTCCCATCCAAGTTAAATGATTATGTAACTTACAATGTCAGGCATCCCTTAACTTCTGCTATTGATTACAGCAAAGTGTCACCTTCATTTGCTGCATTCCTCAATACAGTTATTGAGACCTATGAACCTCAAAGCTTTCAAGAAGCTAAATTACATAGCGAATGGAGAGCTGCTATGGCAGAAGAGCTTCAAGCTCTTCACGAAAACAACACCTGGACCATCATGAAGCTTCCTAAAGGAAAGAAGGTTGTAGGAAGTCGTTGGGTGTACAAGATCAAGTTCCATTCAGATGGCACGATTGAAAGACACAAGGCTCGATTGGTTGCTCGTGGATTTACTCAGACTTATGGAGTAGATTACAAAGAGACCTTTGCACCTGTGGCAAAGATGAATACAGTGAGGGTGCTGTTATCTGTTGCCATTAACAATACATGGCCTCTCTTTCAAATGGATGTTAAAAATGCCTTTTTACATGGGGAACTAGAAGAAGAAGTTTTCATGAAAATCCCTCCGGGTCATCCTCAATCAAACAATCCAGACCTGGTGTGCAGACTTCATAAAGCCATTTATGGCCTCAAGCAAAGTCCCCGAGCATGGTATGCCAAGCTCAGTCATGTCCTAGAGGGAGTTGGTTTCTCTCGGAGCAATGCTGATTCCTCCCTATTTGTGCGATCGGGCAAATCTGGTAAACTTGTGGTGCTTATTTATGTCGATGACCTAATTGTTACAGGTGATAATGTTTCTGAGATTAGTGCTCTTAAACAATATCTCAGTCACAAATTTGCTATCAAAGATCTCGGCACTCTTAAATATTTCTTAGGAATCGAGGTGGCACATTCCCACAAGGGCTGTTTTCTAAATCAGCGCAAGTACATCATTGATCTTCTCCATGAGGCAAACATGACAGATTGTAAACCTGCTCGGACACCTTTGAATAGCAACTTGAAGCTGCAGTCTCATGGTGATCTCATTCCTAATATAGAGTATTATCAGAGATTGGTTGGCAAGCTTATTTACCTAACTATCACTCGTCCTGATATATCATATGCTGTGAGCCTTGTTAGTCAGTTCATGCATGCTCTAAACACAGATCACATGAAGATTGTTCACCGTGTGCTTTGCTATCTGAAGGGTTCCATTGGTAGAGGGATCCTCATGCGCAATAATGGTCATACTCAGATCTCGGGATATACAGATGCAGATTGGGCAGGGAACTCTCTCGATCACAAGTCTATCACTGGTTTTTGCACATTCATAGGGGGTAATCTTGTCACCTGGAAGAGCAAGAAACAAAGTGTGGTTGCACGCTCAAGTGCAGAGGCAGAATATCGTGCTATGGCATCAACGGCATGTGAACTCACTTGGCTCAAAACTCTACTCTCGGATCTAGGGTTTCCTCACCCGCAACCTATGTCCCTTCACTGTGACAATCAAGCAGCAATGCACATCGCATCAAATCCTGTCTTTCATGAGCGAACTAAACACATTGAAGTTGATTGTCATTATGTTCGGAATCAAGTGCAGTCCAAGGTAATTGCTACACACTTCATTCGCAATCATGATCAGCTAGCAGATATCTTCACCAAAGGACTGGCATTTACTACTTTTCATCATCTCCTATCCAAGCTCGGATCAATTGATCCCTTTGATCCAGCTTGAGGGGGAGTATTGGAAGAAGTTCTGCCATAAATCAAGGATTTGCTTTTCCATGTTTTCTGATTTGCTTTTCCATGTTTGCTGCTTTCCTTTTCCTTGTTTTTCGGCTTCTGTTTCTTTTCCTTTCTTCCGCTCATTTATATGAGCTTTCCTTGTACTTTGTTTCACATATACAAAATATAGACATTCAAAATTCAATAAGTACTCTTGTACTTTGACTAAAAAGAGATGTTCTAACGTCTTCGAATTGCATATACATACTAGGATTTATACTAGTATACTATGTGTTTTGATCCAAACTTGGATGATATTCTTTAACGATGTTGTCACGCTGATAAAATACGTACTTGAGACTGCAAGAAAATCGCAACTAGTTGTGCGAGGCCATGCCAAGTTTTACCATTTATAAGTTTATAACCCGCGACAGAATTCAGTTATTTCATGAAGCATATTTCAGCTTCTGAAAAATTCTCACTTCTCAATTCAGCTTGTTCTAATCCAGCGGTAGACTTTTGATTAAGCGGCTCGTTATATATAGCTTTTGCCCCTTGGATGCACTGTGATAAGATAATGAGTCTTTCCATGCAGCTTTACAAGTTGAGATACGGAGGGGGAACCAGGAGAACGAGAAGTTGCTGAAGGATATCGATAATATGAAAACTTCATTGCTTTCGAGTTTCAGCTACTGCGATTGATGATGTCAGTGGTAAGCCTTTTACATACACTAAATGACATGTTAGTCTGTATAATAAGCATGAAGATTAAGACAGATGCATCGATGCGATCTTTGCTCCGTACATGTAAGAGTATATACAAGTGCATGGATGATCATATGCAATATTTGCTATGATACCTACATTATCCTCATTCCCTTTTAGCGGCTTACAGTGACTTGGAATTTATAATTTGCAACCCCACGCATCAATTTACAGTTTCGAACCAGGTGCAAGATCGTGGAAGGGACAAACTGGACAGTAACTTGAAGGTGTACCCTCCTCCGTTTCTAGCCAAACAAAAAGGTGTCCTCCGAATCCAATTAGATTGGTAGGCCTAGGCCTAAATTGTACTGCTGGAATCAATTTTCTTCATGAATAGTTTCTGGCATCAGGCTTTAGCAGTCATGCATGCAGCATTTGTTATTTGCTTACTGTCGGCTTGGATTCTTGTGTCAAGTGGAAGAATGCTAGTCGAACTAAAATTTTATTTTCTTCCGGATGCGAGATTCTTTCATGTCACTAACTCATGTGGTAATCGCCCATTGAACGACTAGTGCACTTCTTAAATACATGGTGATAACGCCAATGATATTAAAACTTGATTGCATGGGAGAATCTCGCAAAACAATGCTTAAAAGTTCCAACTTTCTTTCTCATATATGTCCATTATGAATTTATGAGTTCATGACCCTTGCATTAGGAGAAAGACTTGCACCTATCTGAACTAAAAGCGCAAAACAATGTCGCATGTTTTAAATTTTTCATGTAGCAATGAGTTATTGATTTACAATATCGCGCTACAATGATGTATCCAATATATATATATCTCAAATTATATAAAACTCTACCCGATACGCTATTGTCGCAGTAACCGAAACCAACCCTAAAATTTTCCATTGTTTTCTCACTTTCAACTTTAGGTAGGGGGTCCAGCTTTCATTTCTATATCTAGTTTTTCCCATATCTGATTGTTAAGGTAGAAAAAGCATAGGGAATAAAATGGAAATTACTCCGAAGCTCCCATATCAAAAACAAAAGAGGAGTCGTAGATAGGAGATACCTATCGATAAAGATATAGGAATTCATATCATTTTTGGATTTATACGTTCGGAAACGACAGACTCGAAAATTCAGATCATACAATTTAAATCTTGCGGTCCCTATTAGTCTATTTTACTAGCTCAACTCATTCAAAACCAAACTCTTGAACAGCTTAAAGATCTCTTCTGAAAAATCTGAATTTTAGTATCCGTCAACTCTCGACACAGAAATCCGAAAAAATATCTCAACTCAAGATATATTTGTTCGACCTAACAAAAAATGTGACCTTCGAGTAAAACCTTTGAGTTTGTTTTCCATGTCACGGACAGTGACCATATCCCTCTGGTGAATATCACGTGCGCACTGGCCCCCGACCGTTCCATACGGCTATGTCGCTTTTGTTGTCTGATGATATTGTGGTTGTTGGTTCAAGCCTTCTCAATTGTCAATTATCCAGGCCACACAAGTTATAAAATTCCGCTGGTCCTCTGATGATTAGAAAGCAGAAAAGAAAAGAGAAGCTGGGTGGGTCCTTTGCCAATTTGCCATGTAGGGTTTGGTTCGTTCACAATTTCATCCATGTTTTAGTTTAGGGTGTAAAAAAGTGCTTAAGTTGTCAATTAAAAACTTATAATTGGGGCTAATTGTGGTACTTAACACTAAGTTTGATCTAGGAGAAACGGCTTCTTACATATAAGAAACCAAATATTTTTCTTTTAAAACGGAATAATTTCTACCATGAGAGCAATTGGTTGTGTATTCCCCTCTCTCTACCTCTCTTGTCACTCAAATAGGAATAAAGGAACATATCACTTATTACTAGTTGTATCTCATTCTTGCCATTAACAGAATGAGATCAATTTTTGATCCTTGTGTCTGTACTCTGTAGTATGCAAACTAAGAGATCCAAACCATTCAATAAAGAGAAAGAGGTTTAAGCCGTTTAAGTTAATAAGTGTCGTATGATTGAAATTAAATGGTAAGATCTTTCAATCTGCGGGTTCTGGACACTGAGATCCAAAATGAATCATCCATTAACACTCTTGTGATTGGAGTTCCTACGTGACCTAGTTAGGGTATCTCTCAATTTCTAGGTTGGCAGTTTGGCATGCCCAGAGAGTAGGGCCCCAAAGGACCAAGGTGCATGACTATTGACTACTGACCAGTAATAGAGCCACTAATTATTCTTCTTTTGGGACCCCCCAAATTGGGTCTGGCTGGATCCCACACTATCTTCTCCCTATAAGAAACCTTCCTTCCTCCTCTTTTTCTCATGCAACTTTTATCACTTCACCCACATCCTGCATCCAAAAATAGCTCACCCAGAAGAGCTACTGAACTGAAAGAGCCATAGAACTAATTCAAAGAGTTTTCCGGAAATAGAGAGATGGAGGTGAAGAGTAGCGATACCAACACCGTTGAAGCCTCGAAAAGAAGGTTTTCGTCCAAGGGGGGTTGCGGGTTTCTTAAAGAGGGAAGAGGAAGGCTCTACGTTTTCAGAAGATGCATTGTTATGCTTCTTTGTTGGCATGATTAGGAATTTAGGATAAGTATTTGGTGTATTTTTTCGAGCTATTCGCCTCTGAAAATCACTTATTTCTTCATTTTTCTTTCATTTTTCAATGTTAATATGAACTATCTGTACCGACTTTCATTTCTCTTTTGGATATTATAAAATTTTGGTGACTTTCATCATATCTTCCAATAGAATTGTTATTGAATCCCTCTGGTTTTTTTTTTTTTTTTTTTTTTTTTTGGTTTTTGTTTTTGTTTTCTAAAAGCAGCTGGTTGCCATGGTTTATTCTTTCAATGGCCAAAAAGACTCGGGGGCATTTCAACTCTTTGTTATACTTCCCCTTGAAATATGATGCTAATTGTAATTTTCCATGGAGTTAATGCTGCATTTTCATCCTTGTGGAATATCATCCATGCCAAATAAATGCCTTAAAAGGTTTATTTATTTATTTAACAAGACAATATTTTAAACTACTTTAATTTATTGGGAGTTGAATGAAGGAGGTGGGCACACGGATAAAGACTTACATGGCATAATGTACAGCTATGTTAGTATTTCATGTCAATAAAATAAAACATGTGTAAGTTTGTTTTGTCCAAATATTCTTGTTTTATTGGAATAAGATACTCCGTAATAATGTATAAGTGCCATATAAATTATCATCGGACACACAACCTAGCTAACTGACCCAATTTACGTGCGTGGAATAAGTTCTATATTAAAACCAATCATCGAGTCGCAGGCTAGGTCATCATAGTCGGTGGGACTAATGTTGAGAAATGGTAACCTCAGCCACATGATGAGGAACATGAGCCTTGTGCATGTGTTGTCTGGACACATCACCACCATGCACTCGTGTATGTGACCTTGTTTTGGGAAAAAAAAAGGAGCCAATAAAGATGGTGACAGTACATCTTCCCATCAGGACACAAGGTTCATTTTTTTTTTCATCTCTGTGGGTCTGGTCACGCTGGCAGATCCTCTCAATCTGGACAGGAGATCCTCTCTAGATCTCACCGATCGAGAAATCTTGACTGTTCAATTTAAATTTTACGATTCTTATCAGCTCATTCTCCTAGCACACCTTACATATATCTCTCTCTAATGCTCATAAATCTCTCTTTTTCAAACAATCCAAATTTCTCGATCCCTAAACTCTTGAGTGTGAGATCTGAAAAATGACATTGAAGATCTTATGGATAACAACTTTCATATTTCTCTTTTATCCAAATTTTTTTTTGCAGATATATATAATTTTCGTCACTACTTCAAGAAGAATTAATTGTTAGTAAATGCCAATAAGGGTTGGCTTAGTTGGTAAGGTCCCTATTTTGTGTGTCATTCTACCAAAGTTCGAGTTCCATTGCTAGCAGTTATCGTTGGAGTGCGATCTGTAAATTCCTATGTAAATCTATATTGGTAGTAGCTGGCTGTTAGATGCCAAGTGTAAATCCTCCTGGCTCGAGTTGTGGGTATGTTTTGGCGTTGGTGGTGAGAGTAACCCTAAACTTTCTGTTAGTAAATTTGAATATAAATGGTATGAGCCTTGTGTTATACTAACCACCTTGACATCCACGTTACTTGCTCGTGTATGTGCATCTTGCATGAAACAAAGACTTCATTTATCACGTGTTGTCACTTGCTCATTCTTAAATGACGTTGCATGGTTGATTTGGGATATAACCACCTTGACATCCACGTTACATGCAAATCTCTTCTTAGCTACACCTTTGGTATGCCAATTCAAACGCTATATGAGAATGCTAATACTCATAAAGTCACATTATTAGTTTGGATGCCACAAAGATGTGTGCATGTTTGTAAGTACTTTTAAAACGACTGAAAACAGTTTTAGTGAAAGTAGATTCTGAACTTTCAAACTCAACCCAAAATCCTAAAAATAGAGTCCGCATGCCATGGACTAGGCATATAATGAAAATCACACAACTTTTCTGAGAAAAATAATTGAAAATAGCAAACTATAAGGGTATAATTGCAAAAAAAAAAAAAAAAAAAAAAAAAACCAGTCAATCGGATGGTTCATAAGTCGCAACCTACTGGGCTTCTGAGCTTCTGCTTTCCCTTTGGATTTTGCTGATACAGTAAGATCCCCAAGCCGTCCTACCTCAGGTAACGTTATCACTCCATCTCCTCCTTCTTCCTCCTTTCATTCGTATATTTCACAGACCTATACATATATGCATGTATATATATATATATGTATATACGCGTTCAGTACAATCTAGGGTTTTTTCACACCACAATCAATGTTACTGTATAGTACAGAAAGTTCAAATCTTGAAGTATCTTTGCTACAGTTGCGTTTTTTTTTTTAAGACAATGATCGAAATTTTTTAAATTTGAAACGGTAAATTATGCAAGATGTGAAATTTAATTTAGTTACATGGAAAAATGGATGAAAATTTTGAACTTTTTTTGGGAATTTTTAAAGGAATGATTGTGGCTGAAAGTGCCCATGTAAGCTCAGAAAACAACTTAGCACCAGAAGCACTTTCAATGGGTCGTTTAGCAAATGGGGAGGCCGAGAAAAGTCTTCACAAACCAAACAACCAAGCTCAATGTCACGGCTCTAATGGGAGATGTGGAAGCTCGGGCTCTCACGGAAGCAAATCCAGACCGTGTCGTGAGGAAAATTGTGGGGAAGGAGTTATAGGAGTGTCTGGAAAAGATGCACGAACTGATGTTTTAAGTGTAAGTGGCAGTGGCACTTCGATATATGACTCACATTCGAGAATGTAGTTGCTTGGAACAGTTTTCGTGCTTTATATAGCGTGTAATGATTGTGTTTAGAGATTGAAATTTATTGTTTTGTAGAAAACGGTGGCAGAGCAAATGGAAATGACATTAGAAGACATGTACAACCAAGACCTCGATGACGAGGATGATGATAGCGATTGGGATCCCTTCCAACAGCATGTAGAAGTAATGAAATGGTTCTGCACCAACTGTACAATGCCCAATCTTGGTGATTTTGATCATTGTGATGTATGTTCTTCCCATTCGTACTATTCTGCCTTTGATATATCATCTGTCTGCATGTAAGGAGGCATAGCTGTTATAACTGTGCAGGTATGTCGAGAACATAGAGAATCTGGTATCTTGAGGCAGGGGTGTTTCGCATCTGCCTTTGATTCAGGCCTCACTGAGACTGTGTCTGACACTAGAGAAAGACACAAAGGTTGGTACATGATGACTATTGAGTTTATTTCAAATGGTTGGTGTGTCAATCTTTGAAAATTTCTCGCAAGAATAATCTTTTGAGATTTTTCATTGTCTTATTGCCTATCTTATTTTGGTGGCTAATGTTATTGTTTGGGATGAATCATAATTGTTGCCTCTTAAGTTTGAATATTGGTTCCAGATATAGTAAGCAAAAGTTTTCATCATTTTGATCTACAAGTATATTTGTTTGTGGGTGGGTCGTTTGGTGTGATATGTTTCAGTATCACTCTAAGTGTGTGTCTGTCATGACTCGGTGCATTGCATGTTAGCATAGTATGTTTGCCATATCTTAATATAAAAGAGCTAATACAAGCTATATTAGTAGCCAGTAGTTGTTTTTTTTCTCCATACTATTCTTGGCCTATTGGATGCTGATGTTGCCCTTTTTCTACTTGGTTATGGTTGTTCTGCGATGTATGTCACTCTTGGAAACATGGTGTATTTTTTCCTGTCAAATAGACTGATGATGAGTTTTGGTAAACTTCCAAATTTGTATCACTATGGTGTTAATGTGTTGTTTTGGTTTTTAATTATATTTTTCTGGTAAATGCAGGCTCACAAGATTCAGCGTCAAAGAGTTCCACTGCCGTAGGTTTCGATGAGAGAATGTTGCTACATTCAGAAGTATGGTGTTGCTGCAATACATGTTTTCCTCATACTCTTTGTTAGTTCTCATTTGTTGTTCTTTTTTGTCTGTATGTTGTTTAGATGCAAATAGGTGTTCTTTCTTCATTACATATAACTTAAGTGTCTACAAAGCAGTTTTACAAGAAGTTTCATGTCTATCCTTATCTAGAAACCCAAACTGCAGTAATTTTGAAGTACTATAAATTTGCTAAATCGTTTAATATACTTATATTTTCTGACACTAATGTGATAAGTTGGAAACTGCTCATTTCTGTTTGTGTAATACTTTTATTTTTTCTTTTCTGGTGGTTGTTATGCTAGGGTAGGTTCAAATGAACTCATATCCGCACCCAGAAAGACCAGATCGTATTCGAGCCATTGCTGCTAGCCTTGCTACAGCTGGTATTTACCTTCACTGAAGTTCTTTTTGCATGTCAATTGTTACTATTGAGAGCTTGTACTCTGGTGTGCCGTTAATACTTTGTCTAGTAATGGATGTTGGTGTTATTTTGTTTTAGACTGATACGCAATGGGAAATTCAACCTATGCAGGTATATTTCCTGGAAGGTGCCATCCAATTCCTGCTAGAGAAATCACACGCGAAGAACTTCAGATGGTAAGTAACCATTCATCAAACATCTGACCTGATGCTATTTTGTCTGTGCACGACTAAGGAAATTGGATCTTTGTAAGTTGAGTCCTGATTTGGGAGGGGGTTTGTAGTTCATTTCATAACAAACCTTTTTCTGCATTGTCAAGATGCTAAAGACGAAGACTTTGTGTGACTAGTTTCTATTAAAAGGAAACAAATGACAGTTATAATATTTATCGTCTTCCTTGGTCTATGATTTTGTAATTGTTGGCTCTATTTTTTTTTTTTTTTTTTTTTTTTTTTTTAATTATAAATAAAGGTCCATTCTTTGGAGCATATTGAATCAGTTGACCATACAGGCCATATGTTTTCAAGGTATGTTTATTTGCGTATCTCTCTCTCTCTCTCTCTTTCTCTCTGGGAGATTGCATTTGTGATAGTATGATTTATCGATGTTCTTTTTAATTGATAAATTATGTATGGTTGGCAGTTATTTCACTCCTGACACATATGCCAATGAACATTCAGCATGTGCTGCTAGACTTGCAGCAGGTTTATGTGCTGATCTTGCTAAAGCAATTGTTTCTGGACGTGCCAAAAACGGTTTTGCCCTTGTATATAACCTTTTACTCTTACTTGTCTGTTTCAGAATTATCGATGTAATGAGAACTCTTTGAAAATCTCAGTTCTTATTAAAGTTACGCACATTACTGAATGACTCAGGTTAGGCCTCCTGGTCATCATGCTGGTGTAAGACAGGCTATGGGGTTTTGCCTCCACAATAATGCAGCAGTTGCCGCATTAGCAGGTCAGGTTTCTGGGGCTAAGAAAGTGCTAATCGTTGATTGGGTAAGGTCTATACCCTAATGTATTTATCTCATTACAGTGTTTCGTGAGCTGCTTATATATAGATATGTTCAAACCTGAAATGGTATTCAATAAAACCTGCAGGATGTTCATCACGGGAATGGCACACAAGAAATATTTGATCAGAACAAATCGGTGAGCAACCTTGTATTTAAAACTGTAACTGGAATGTCCGGTCTGTTTGTGTTATGCATTTATTTAGATTTCAGTGCTGATAAGTTGAGCTCATTTTCTAGGTCTTGTATATATCCTTACATAGACATGAAGGAGGGAAGTTTTATCCTGGCACTGGAGCTGCTGACGAGGTACTAAACTGATTGCAATTGGTTTTTGTTTTCCTTTTCATGTTCATATTATTCTATAATATTTTGGACTATATCTAATGGGATTACGTGATTACTATTTCAGGTTGGAACCATGGGGGCTGAAGGATACTGTGTGAACGTTCCATGGAGTCGTGGTGGAGTCGGTGACAATGATTACATATATGCATTTCAGCATGTTGTGCTTCCTATAGGTTGTTATTTCCTAACAAGGAACTTGTGTCATAATGATAACAGTGAACTTTACTATTTAACTATTCTGTCCGTTTTGGGACATATGTCCTCGTGAATACCTAATGTTTTCTTTAGACGATTGTGATGGTTTGGATTTGATTCTCTGATATAAATGATTTCTGAAATTTTTACAGCTTCTGAGTTTGCTCCCGATTTCACCATCATATCAGCTGGATTTGATGCAGCACGAGGTGATCCACTGGGATGCTGTGATGTAAGGACTAGTCATTTCATTGCAGACGAGCACATTGCTGGACTTGTATTCTCTTAGTCTGTCTTTCGTTTTAATGATTTTGTTGTTGTAGGTTACTCCTGCGGGCTATGAAAAGATGACACACATGTTGTCTGACTTGTCTGGAGGAAAGATGCTTGTTATTCTTGAGGGCGGGTTTGTGATTCGTATTTTTTTTTTCTCTTAGTGGATCACACCTTGCTACATATATATATTTAACTTGAGAAAATTTAATTGGATAATGTGGCTTTTTGCAGTTACAATCTCCGTTCAATATCGTCTTCTGCTACTGCAGTAATTAAGGTAACCATTTCATACAAATCACGCAAAGACCGAAATACATTTCTATCTGAATATGCGAAATATGTTTCTGATTTGTCTATCTGTGAGATAGGTATTGCTGGGTGAAAGTCCAGGATGTGAATTGGACACCACTCTACCTTCCAGATCTGGCCTACAAACCGTTCTCGAGGTCCTTCAAATTCAAAATAAATACTGGCCTGCTCTCGGATCCAGCCTTACGAAATTGCAGTCACAAATGAAAACGTACTCTGTTCAAAACAAAAGTGAGGAACTCTCTCTCTCTCTCTCTCTCTCCCCTTCCGCTGTATGGAGTTAATTTAGCACGGCGTAAAAAAATTCACGTTCCTTTCTATCTTTGCCTGCAGAAAAGCAAATGAAAAAAAGCCGGCGGACTCTGGCACCATTGTTTTGGAAAGGGGGAAGGAAAGCTCTATTGTATCATCTTTTAAACGGGCATTTCCATGTAAACCGGAAGGATTGGTGATCGACTCTACTGATCGTAAGCACATATGCTTCCCCATGTAGTTTGATGCATTTTTGTAAACAGCTAGCTCAGGAACGATATATTTATACCACTTCCGTTCGCTTTTTTGCCCAGCGATGATGTTTTAATCATACATTATCAGAACTTATGAATTTCAATTCGAGTACAGATCTCTCTCGCTATCTCGCGTAAATATATTCCGGCAAGACCCCGATAACAAATCTGTCTTTATAAGGAGGTATGCAGCTTTAATTTCGGGATGTTTACTTGTCAGAACTTATGCTCTGCCTTCTGCTCTTACTATGTATTATTACTCCCCTTCAAATCCACTTAGAGACCTGAAAACCCTAATAAAAAGGAAGAAAATTACTGTTTTGTTATTGGTGCATTGTTGGATGTGCCATTGGGTAAGCAACTGGGACGGCGTATGGAGGATGGGCATGGGGGTGGTGGCCTGGAGGAAGCATAACTGGAGTGCCCACGGCCGACGCCATGTGCCCTGGAGGAGCAGAAACCGGGTGCCCCATCGGTGCTCCATACATCCCTAAACCTGTCATGTGTGGCTGAGGCCTGTGCTTCACCGACTGCGGTCCTACTCCTACTCCTATCGTGGTGGCCGCAGTTGGCGCATACGAACTGGTCTGCTGCCCGGTAATTGGCGGCTGCTGGTGAGATGAAACGTCTCCGTTGTTGACGCTTGTAATGTCATGGATGCTTGATCTCCTCCTGTCTCTGTTCATGGAGTTCAAACGGATGAAATATTTTTGTGCGTGGCTTGCTACTTGAGTTGGGGTTCTGGAAATGACAAAGTTTCTTGAAATGCTTCTCCAATCCCCTTTCCCAAACTTGTCTAGACCAAGTAGAAATAACCTGATGAAAAAATAAAATCGGTTACAAACTTTTAATCGGAAACAGAATTGAAGGATAATAAACAAACAATAACGCTTTCTTATCTCCCCACATTGATTTCATCAATTTTGTCAGTTATACAGTTTATAAAAATCAAATAGGGGAAAAGATCCATTGCCATATCCCACATGGTTTTTTTTTCCTGAATCTAACTTGACCTAATTCCAAACTTATAGGCAAATCTTTCTAAATTAATAAGTATGCTTCAGATTGCGTTCTTTCTTAAATACGAACTTACACGCATTAGAAATGTCACTGCGACGACAGTTGAAAATAGAGATTTATATATGAGCAAAAGCAATATAACGAGTGTACCTGTGTTCTTCTTCAGTCCACGGTATCCCCTTCTTCCTCTCTTGGTCGGCCCTTGATCCTCCCTTACCGCCATGGCTAGCGGAGTCGTGACCTGAACCCAAAAACCCACCTCCTTGACCGCAATTCAATCTCTTATCAGAAGCCGAAGCCCCGGAAGAAGAAGCACGATGGCCACTGTCCTTACTGGACGATACTGTATTAGCAGCTTCATCAGCTGTGTAGTTAGGCGGGGACACTCGCCCCGCCTCGATTGCACCCACGTCGTCGACTAGCATTTCGTAGTGTTGCTTTAACTCCTCCATGCTTTTGCTTGGAACCAAGTCAGCAATCTTTTCCCACTGTTCTTCTGAATTTTCATCGATCCAATGCATGGCAATAGCGTTCTCGAACGCTTTGTCTTCTTCTTTGCCCCAAACGCTAGAACTCGACATGGTTTTTTACGTTTGGAGGATTAGGGTTTTGAGAACTAGGGTTTGCAGAAGAAGCTAGCTCTTGGTGTAGCTAGAGAATGGGAAAATGGTGAAAATGGTGAGGAGTTGGATTCACTTTCTTTCTGGTTAGTGGGTTTAAAGAGAGAAGGAGAGAGAGAGGGTGCGTAGGATTAGAGGGTTAGGGAACAGAAGAGAGAAGGTGTGTGTAGGATAAGGAGAGAGGTTGTCAAATTATCAATTGAGAAAGGAGGACCACTTTGGAATTGAAGGGATGGGTTCTTTGTCATCTAGGACAAGCTTGAGCAAAAAATCTCAAGCTCTCCCTCTCTCTCTCTCTCATCTCTCACTAATGTTTCTGAATCACTTACTGCTGGTGAAGAGAGAGAAATAGAGAGATAGAAAGACAATGGCAATCATGGAGGGGGTGAAACTTAGAAACTTTTGGACGCCCATAGAAATTCTCAAACTACCAACATCACATGCAAACTCAGTTCTCGACTATAATGGAGTACATATACCAGCATGATCTGAATAATTACCTGTTAAAGTAAACCAATGAAGCTGTTTCCAATACCACCAACCTATTTACTCTTGCAAACTCGCATACTTTTTTACTGGAGAAAACCTTGCATGCACTTGTATTTTGTTGCATGGAATATCACGTAAAAAACGCATAATCATACATATATATATATATATATATGCAAGAAAGGCATTAAGTTAACAAACAACAAGTGTATGTAAGTTTTCTCAAATTCAGTCACGTAACTCTTTTTGACAATATGCAATGGCATGTCTCAATTTAAATAGAAAGATGAAAGATTCTTTTTTTTTTTCTATCTCTGAGACGTGGCCAATTCTCCATTCCAAGTTGCTAAAATGCGCCCCCATATAACTCCAACTCTGAAAAAGAGATATCATATAAATTTGACCAACATGCATTATTGCCAATTTTACTTTCGTCGAACCTAACATGCCTCATTTTTCTAGATTGAGATCATCTTTGAATTTTAAAATTCTGAAGTCGATATATTTATTAATTTGGAGTATTGATTTAAATCAGTGGTTTTTATTGACCTTATTTTACTGATTCACCTCACATACAAAACCACATCCTCATCTTTCTCTCTCTGCCTCATCTCTCTTGAATTGTCCGGATTACTGAATCCACCTGTCCTGGAGTTTGAGATTCGGAGATGATCTCAATTACCTTTCCCTGATTTCCCACACCCTCTCGTTATATATATATATATATATCAGTATTGCTATATATGTTTGTCATGAACTTTTTTATGAAAAACAAAACAAAAGCCTCACAGTAACTTGTAATTTTCTTGTGTAGAATTTTAGAAGAAAACAATAAAACTAGTTAGAATTATTGTTAAACTTAGAAGTATGTTATGATTCAATGAGATTAGGCCTCTGAGGGTGGACTTAAACATCATGTCAAAATCATCTTAATCATTCTTGATTGATTAACGGTTTGTGGCTTTAACAAAGAGATAAAAACCCAACCCAGTAATGATGAATAACAAGATATATTCAATCAAACCACGAAACCAATTTGTAAGGCTGCTTGATTATGTCCACTACTGTTATAATTCCCTTCTAGCGCCACCTAGATCCTCGCTTAGGCATTAGGCAGTTAGCTACAACCACGATTAATCACTAAACATTTATAAATTAAGAAAAGATGCCTAGATTTGCTTAGGCTTCCGCTTAACCTGCCTAAGCACCTTAAAGGAGGCGTTGAGGGTGAGCGAAAGGTGCAGACGCATAGGCCCCAAATTTGAAGTGGCCCCTAAATTTTTGCCATCTAACATCATGTAATAATGTTCTATATTTAAAAAAAAAATTTGATTTGTTAGCACTTTAAAACCACATTGTGCACTTCTTATTAGAGATTTTTTTTTCCTTTCTAAATATAAAAACTTGGAGTACAATGAGATATTTTGTGTGTCTAATAACACCCTAAAAAATGAAAGTTTCTTAATTTTATTATATAACAACGTTATACATTCAAGTAAAACTTTAAAGTTAGAGGTTTAAAGTTTTTTTTTTTTCATGTTTGATTGTTTAAGATAAAATTGCTTTTGATTATTTAGTGAAGGTTATGTTTGTAGATCTTTTTACTTATCATTAATAACACTTGTAAACATGCAATCACTGAGTACTAAAGTTTGTTTGTTTTATTTTTATTTTTATGAATAAACGGTATTATATACACTAAGGATGTGGGGGAGTGGGCTAAGCCTCATAATGAGCTAACAATAATGTGGTTCAAATTCGCCTTTGACGATAATGGAACCTAAGACCTCTCACTTCCAAGTGAAGAGGAATATCATTAGATCGTAGTACTAAGTGGCTTTGTTTTGATTTAAGTGAATGTTTTCTAGTATCAATATGTTGTCATACCTTTATTAGTACTTAAAACTATCTTAAGAAGGGCCCATTTACAAATTTCACACAAGACCTCCAAAATTTCAGAGATGGCCCTGAAGCACCTATCTAAGTCGCCAGCTTCACTTAGAGAGAAGATATATAACTTTTATTTTGCATTTTATTTTTTCAATAAATTGTAAGAAACTTATTGAATACTTACACAAACACTCATTATATGCTTGTTCCTCATGTTTTCGATATGTTCTAATACTTCATAATTCATATATCATTCTATTTTGTAATTTATATATGTCAATACAATTATTTATATTTTTCCAAGTACAAATAGACATTTATTTGTATGTTATATAATAAATTTAATTAAAATTAAAAACTGGTCTCTGCCTAGACCCTCCCTAGACAACTAGATGCTAGCCCACTAGTGGCCACCGTATTAGCGCCTTTCAGAATCTTGCATGACAAGTCTCACATTAAATGAAAACTTTATTACGCATGACGTGCCCATACACAAGTTTTTCTCCTGTTCAAGCCCAGAAATTATGGTTAGTCCACAAATATTTTAGTGAAGAAGATGAGGACCATTCTAAACGAGAATTGACCCTTAAATGGAGTCTAGGAAATCTCCATTAGATTTAAAGGTAGACAATTATCAACCGTGTCACGTTCAACCGTCAATTCTTTGCCCAGCAAATTGACGTATTAATTAACGGTTTACAATTGACTTGTGGTCCAAAATTTACATCAAGATTTGTTTTCCTTTCTCTTTCACAAAGAATCTTTAACCCCAAAAAAAAAAGAAAAAAAAGAAAAGAACCACTCAGTTGTTGCTTTGTTGGTCAGTTGGCCATGCTCAGGATAAATGGAAAGAGAAATTTTATTTAAATTCATGTAATTTTTTTTTTACATTCAATTTAAAATTTTAATGTTAATTATTTATTTTATCTTATTGCATAATTATTATTAAGTACAAAATGAAATTAATAATAAAACTCAAATTTATCAATAAATCCAAACATTATAACTAAACCCTACGATCACTCTTTGTTTATTCTATGTTCATTCCGGCTAAAACCCTAATAACTCTCATAGAGAAAAATAAGTTTTTTTTATTGATGGATGGTGATTTTGAAGTTTTGAATCCTTCAACCAAGGGATAACTCAATTTATGAATTTTTTGTTCGTTTGATTTCAATTTTTTAGAGTTTATAAGATGAGTATTTTGGTTTTAAATTTTTTTTTTCAATCAATCCCGAATAGTTTGTTTATCTTTCTGCAACAGCAAATTGCTACAGTCGGTCTCCCACTGTTTATCTGCACCCCAAAAACCCAAAAAGGCTTATAGATATTGCAAGGACCTTGGATTCCGTTTGCTTCTTCTGTTTTTATTTTTATTTTTTCCCTTCTCTGTCGGTGTAGTATGACTACACCCCAAAATCATGGCATCAATGTAGCTATTGGTGCAAATAGTATTGCCTAAAAGTCCTAATACAAAGACTGCACCCCAAAAAACCAAAAAGACTTGCAGATATTGCAAGCATCTTGGATTCTGTTTGCTTCTATTTTTATATTATTTTTTTTCTTCTCTGTCGGTGTAGTCTAACTACACCCCAAAATCATGGCATCAATGTAGCCATTGGTGCAAATAGTATTGCCTAAAAGTCCTAATACAAAAGCTGCACCTCAAAAAACCAAACAGACTCGCAGATAGTAGTATATACAAGCACAAAACAGAGTTAAAAATCAAATGGGTGTAAAAATAAATCCACATATTAAATTAGGTTTATAAGGGCATATTAGGTAGTAAATTAGGGTTTAAAAAGATATTAATAGTTTAGTTAAAAATCAAATGAGTAGAAAAAGTAAATTGGGTGTAGAAATAGATTACATGAGTTTAAATAAAATTTTCCAAATATAAATTACTGCGGTAAAAAGTGCTATATTCTTTCTTCAAGGCCCACCAATATTCTGCAATCATAGGCTCAACAAATTGCCATCTTTGGCCAATCTGAAAAGTTCTTACAGAGTCGGTGCCAGTGAGTGTTTCTCCATATTAACGTATGCCCTGTATTTGTACGTCCTTAGATGCCCGGGTAAAAACGGGGTTTATCGCCACTGTAGCGTCCAGACTACTAATACGACGTCATGAGGAAGACTCCATCAATATGACCTTGTATTAGTGGTTCAAGGCGTTATAATAGCAGTGAACTCATATTCTTCTGCCCGGCCGCCCATATACAGCATAAACTTGCACGAGAGAGGCCCCCTCCTCGGCCCACCTCATGTGAGCGTGTTGCTGTAACTTCAGCAGTTGTATTGATTACTATGGCCGGAAACCCAAAAAAACTCATACTGGTAAAGCGAAAAGAAACAAGATTTACACACCAAAACAAAGCAAAAACTCATCTTTCACTTTCGGATAGGGAGAGGGCTGAAAACGATATTGAATTGATGCAATAACTACAAGTGGAAGGTTGTGCCCCTCGTCGTTTCGACAACAAAGTACTAGCTTAAACATTGTTGAGAATACAAATAATATGAATCTTCAACTTCAATTAGAAAACCAATTACCTTCTAATCAACTCGCGTGTTTCGTACTTTGATTACTCATTTGGCAGTACTTTGATTCTGCGCACATCTGTTTTTATAAAGGAAGAAAGTTAAAAAAATGAAATGAAAAAACTATAGATATCACCAGGAAGGAAGGAAGCACCAAGTACCTATCAATTACCTCGTTGAAAAATGGATCTCGAAGTTGGGGAAGTTATCTCAGCCCAGAAACAGAAGGACGCTACAAATATATTAACAAGTGCTGTCCTTCGACGGCACATGAAGATTGTTGATACCAGAGGCAACTGATTCCCAGCCAGTTTTGCACACTATCTTGGTGATGTTGATGATACAACCCCAACTTGTATAAGTGGGCGCCCAGGAAGTTTTGTACGGTCAGGAGCTCCTTTTAGAAGGGCCGCCTTTTGTGGGTTTAGCAGTAGAAGTTGCTGCATGTCGTCGGGAAGTACATTGAAAATCGCCTGCAGATCTCCCTTAAGTTTTTGGCAAGTTGCAGTAGAGTCTGTGCTAGCCCTTCCTGATTGCTGCGCCTGAGAGATGACAATTTTCGGGAAAAAATGAATATAATACAATTTCTTCATTTATTAATAAAGACATGCAAATTAGTTCTTCAGTGATATTATGTTCAACATCATCTTCTGCTTTAGATACTTCTGAGCATATCTTTAAGCTATTCTAACTCTGATGTAATGCTCACTACTCGGTTCATTAAATGCTGATGGCACAGTTAATGAACAGGTAACCTTATAGTCCACTTATATGTTCACTTAAGAATAGGGTTAGTCGGTGATCCCCTCATCGTTCTTACTTTGAGAATAGAACAAACTTATGCATAAATCAACAGGAGATAATCTACTGTTAACTCAAAACAACATTGAAATTGCAACGGGAGATAATCTTCCAGATTTCCTACAAGAGATACCAAGAGAAAAGATAACAACACCTAGTAGCCTTGTAAACCAGACATCTTGTAATGCTTGAGCAATTGCACCTTTTGACCTCTCTCATAAAGATATTAGAGTCGTCTTAACAAGTTACTATAAATCTGAAAATTATCTTAAAAGTGGTTTCAGATGGACCATCATAAAAATGCTAGTACATATAGCATGCTTTACCAGAAACTGTTATTGGTTTTTTAATTTTATGTGGGGAGGGGAGCATTGATAGAAGATAGCATGCTTAGCAGGGAGTGGGACATTACCACTGTTTCTTCATGAAGATGTCTGTCAATACAATCAAAGGAATCAACAATTTCCAATTCAGACATCTTAGACATTAACTGTAGTATATCAGTCTTCAATCTGGCCTGCTTCCATAGTCTATGTTGTTCTTGTTCAGCAACAGCACGCCTTCTTTGAAACCATGGTGCAAAGTTTGGTCCCTGTAGAAATCGCCTAAACAGACAGAAAACACAGACCAATGATTACCATATGTAAAGGAAACCAAGTAGAACGGTTGGTGAGGAGTGGTAGTAAATGTTACATTTATTACCGGTATAAGTCCAGCCAGTTAGATCTCATTCGTTTCGATAGAAACTTCCCAGGTCCTCTTTCTGATAAACTTCCCAGGAACTCATCAGCATTAAATGGAATAAGAGGGGGAGGGTCTACAAACGGAGAAGATCCTTCTGAAGGTGTTCTAGTCCTAAAATATGGACCAAAAGGAGCCAAAAAGTTAGTAGTGAGCTCCAAGAAATGTCGCCGCAATATTTCATTGTTAACAACTGACATTGATTCCTCAACCCTTGGTGACATCCCAGCATCTATAAGCCTATTCAGGATAGAAGTGTCCGGCTTAGTTGTGGCAGAGTAAGTGCTCCAAATGGCTTCCTTATGTTCCGTCATGAGACAAAGAGGACCCTCTCTCCACAACTTCACAGAATTCAACAAATTTGAAGGAGATAATTTTTTCAAGGAAAGCTGTTGAAAGCCAAATCCTTCGGCTCTACCTGTAAGTCTTCCAGTAGATGACCTGGAAGCAAGGGTAAGCCGGTTTGTATGAGGAGCAGGGCTTCCAACTGAAACAACGTGGGGCATATTACGAAGAGATTTAAGAAAAAACAGGTTGGTTACACCCAAAATCATAGGTGGAAAGGTATCTCCTTCAAGGAGGGAGTTCAGGTGGGCAAATTTAGGGTCATGGATAGTGAAATAAGGTCTAAAATCCACACTGCAAAGTAAAGGTGCAACCAAACTGACAAGACCAGCAACAGCCTCACTGCATTGCGGAGGAGTTGGAGCTATGATAAGCAAGGGCTCACCGATAAGTATCAACTCCCACATAACCCAGAGCTGTAATAATACACCCCTGAAGATGCCAAATAGATCCGAGTCATGAAAAAGGCCCTGGGGGACTGACTGGTTATTAGGAAGAAAAGGAGCCATCGAGGAGGCAGACTCTTCAAGCAACATTCCGTTCTCTGACGGCAAGCTATGTGCAGGTGGCAAGTTCACTTTCAGCGCAGCATTCCCAATAGGAAGCTCCATCAGCCTCCCAGGTACAGGAGCAGGCCACATTGAAACATAAGCAGTAATATGCTCAAGAGCTTTCCTTCCATGTCAAAATATAGAGGACCCATGATTTGTAACAACGGTCTAAACACACTAGAGTATGGACTGTGCGACAAGATTACCACAGACTTCTGCTCCCCGCCTCGTTTTAGCCTCTCATCATGTCTCTGTCTATTAAAAACATACCCATACATGTATCTCGAAGCATTAGAATTGTTGTTACTTTTTGACCTCTTAAGGACATTTACATCGGGAGACTTAGGATCTAACTTCTTATCACTTTTAGTCATCTCGGTGGAGGACACATTGTCAATTTGAGAACTTTCCCGCCTTTGAATCCGGAAAAAGAACATACTATCATGAATGCTTGAGCGGTTCTGATGCTGGGAAACAGAATCCGGGAAAGAACTAAAGGCAATTTCAAGCTCCTCATCTTGTGTAAGACAACCGGGTGGGTAGCACTCTTCAATTAGCTGACCCTGTTCAAGATCAAACCTAATAATACAAAAGGCCACAACCCATTGCTGCAAAGATTCTGGATCAAGCTTTGGACTATTTTCGGACTTCACTGAAAGTGAAGGAGAACGACTCATTTCCAAAAAAATCAAAGCCCGATTTTACTGATCAAAATGCCACTCCACATCGTCTTCAGCAGCCATTTCGACAACAAAACCACTAATACCCAGTTGAACTTTTGTGGGTTTTCTTCCTCACAACCTAGCCAATAAATTTCAAAAGACCTCATTAATTTCTAGATAACAATGTAATTCAAAGACGGAAATTTTTGTTAGGTAATTACAGCTTTCCTTGCGAATGCTTGAGTAAATTATACAAAGGAAACAAGATACATTCTTTTTTTCTTCATCGATTGAGATTACAGTTCTTTAACAATGCATGAATCTAAAGCTAACTTCTTGCTTACTTCAGGTGAAATTACCACATAACAAAAACAACCCATGATTCCATTTTTTCTTTCCTTCCATTTTCTCAGCAACCAAACAAAGTCCCAAGAAAAAAACCAACACACGAAAAAATGCAACACAAGAATCACAAACTCGAATTCAGAATAAAGATCTACGCAAAAGGGTTGCTCGAACTTTACCTGAATCGGAAAACCCAGAACCGAATTCTTGCAGAAACCAATCTGGATCAGCGAAACGAAGACACCCAATTGGCCAAAAACAAACGGAGCTCCCTCAGAAATTGAACAACTCGAACAAGAACAGTAAAGATTCTACAAAGGGTTTATGCGAATTGAACCAAATGGAACTCCCTTTGGCTGTGCTGAGGAGGAGGAGGCGGAGTATCCGAAATTCAAAATCCAATGAATTCGAAATTTTGAACGTTTTAATTTATGATTTAATTGGGAAATTTTACAGAGATCGTGAATTTTAGGGTCTCTGTCGATCAGTTCAGGCCGCAATCGTGACTTGATTTGGAAAGTATTTGACCGCTAGCTGTTGCAATCTGGTATCTCTTCCTCCTCGAACCTGTGCCTCATCATCGTCATCGATATCTAAACCTGGGATCAAGGACCCGGAGATCGAACTGTTAAAATTTGATCTAACGATTACAAATAGGAAATTATTTAAAAATTATAACAATTCTAAACGTTGGATTAAATTTCAAAAATCCGAACCTTCGAATCTCTAGAATTTGGTCGAAGAGATCCATAGGAGATCTCTTCCCAAATAATTGTATCCACCGTACAAATTTTTTTGGTCCCTGCAATGGTGCGGTTACTCTCGTTACCTACTCCTTTAATATTATCTATACACTTATTATTTTTATTTATTTTTATTTCAACTGTGGAATCAAATTGAAAAAGATCAATGCCACAAAGTATCCGATTACAATTATTTCGTACTCTGAAAAAAATTAACGGTCAAATTTAAGCATTGATACTCCGTGAATGAATTCGAAACTTTGAATATCATGAGGCATTGTAGTAAAATCTAAGTTTTTTTGGTCATATACGTACTACATATGTGTAAATATTATATACCAAGTTACGAAGACGTTGATCGGACTCATAGTTCGTTTAAGCGCTTACGGTAAAATTAATTTTGAATTCTGAAAATTTTTTTTTAGAAAAAGTAACATATGCATTTCTTACAAAAAGCACCCAAGATCCCCTTGAACTTTTACTAAAAATTAATTTCAAAATTATTTTTACTAAAAACACTTTTAGTCATTAAAAACTAATTGCAAACGAGCCCTTACATTTCTTTTTGTTGTTGGACTTGGAGATATTAAGCATTTATAAAGTTGTCATCCAAATATTATGTTCTCATAGTCTTTTTGTCCTCTTGGGTTTATTTTTTGCTATGACCCTTCGAACTCTACTTTAATCTCGCTCTACCCCTAAAAACCAAATTGCGTCGTTTTACCTCCTGAAACTCAATTTTTTATTTCAAGGACCATAAACCTCAGTGAAAATTGACCATTCGTAAAACTATCATTTATGACTCACTTGTTATACTAGTACTTTCCACTCTGCATATTTACAATTTCAAAAGGTAGAAAAAACAGAGAAAAATGCTACTCAGTTTTTGTAAAAGTGACTGCACATCTTGCATCTCCTATAATCCTTTGCTTTGCTTAATTAGAACCAGTAAAACTCACCACCATGGAAGTTAGAGTATAATCCGTGTTAAGAACATTTGCCGAATCAAGGTTACCGTCCCGCTCTATCTACCCCAGTTCCATATTATACAACATTCGAAGCGGGACGGGTGGATTGAAACCTAAACATCATACACAGGTAACCGCTGCTCGATTGATTCACGGCATATCGGGCACTTCTTACATTTGTCACAGCAGAAACTGCGCGATATTGAAAAACAATGAGCACGAGTTGCATCTATACCAAATTGAAAAATTTACAAACTTAAGAGTCATGTGATTGTACCTGCAAAGGACACGATGCCGACATGGTAGCAGGACCACACTAATCTCTCCCTCGAAGCAAACGCGACATAACACTTTTTCCTGACCGATAGAGTATCAAAAAAGTTTCGGTCACAATCGAAGATACCAAGTTTCTGAAAATGAAACCACACACATGCACATGCGCTACAACCAGTTAAGGATGAGAAAGAATTACATTTTGAAGTCTTTCGTACTCCTGCTGGCTGTATTTGGTGATTTCTGTCTGTTCGCCAAGAGCCGCTTGAAGTCTCCACACCTGATATTTTAGATAATAATTCAAAGGCACAAATGAAGATTTATATATATGAAGTATTGGACAATATATAATAACTAGCCAAAAGCAACAAAAACAAAGGCGCTATGATCACCTCCTCAGTGAGATCCTTCTTAGGCATTTTCTTCACTATCTCAGGTGGGTAACCACAAAAAGTGTTGTATCTGCATTTTAAGAACCAAATATACAAATATCAGAAACGCTAGATCTAGAAGTTTCATGAATTTTTTAAGGGTGGTGCTATCCACACACCCATTTTTACCTCTCACACACCCTTCTCAACTTTTGACCATCGGATCGAATGAACTGAAGAAGACAATGGACAAAATTTAACTAAGGGTGTGTGGGAGGTAAAAAGGGGTGTGCGAATAGCACTTTCATAGTTCAAACTGCAAACTGTATCACAGTTGCGTATAGATCTTTCAGAGAACATAGAAGACAAGGAACAGTACTAACCCGGATGCCCCCTCATGAAACAGTTTGGCATGTTCTTCTCGACTTCCTTCATCTATCGACCACCAGCCCAGTAGCCTGCAGTAAACAATTTTCAAATTTAGAATCATTCCATAGTATGTTCACTGCATTTACTGCTTATATAAATCCAATGGGTTTAAATCCGCTTATTAAAGATCTCTTCAGAATCAGGGAAGAGTGAATTAACAAAACAAAAACAAACTTTCTACCTAGAACCATGGTGCAAAAACCCGAAGCAGTCATGAGCTCTTGAAGAAAATCTAAAATATAATCCCGTGCCAGCCCCACTACGCAACAAAAGTACAATTTTCTCCACCAACCTACATGCAGAAAATAGTACACCGGCGCCTTGGAGTAAAAAAAGAGGAGAGAAGAGAACTGGAAGTGGGATGTGTCTAGCGTTTTCTGGGGTTCCCTGAAATTTGAAGTTACAGAAGGTCAGTTAATAAAATTACCCAAAATGTAGCCATGAACCACAACCCAAAAACATGACATACCGCAAGGCGCATACAAAGGAGAACTTGAAAGCCAATCACGGGAATTTTCATAAGATGCCCACCAATATCTTGCAGACCACACATTCTATCTTGATTCTGATCCTCTTCTGCTGAAACTACTAAACTACTATTCCAGTCAAGATATCTAATAGTTGTAGAAGATGAAGTAGCTTCTCTTGTACGAGAATTTCTATGAATCACTGGATTGGACCACTTTGTACAGACAAGAAAGGCAAAGCATTCTGCAATACTGTGAAACATATGCACTTCTTAGTCACCCAAAATAGGAGCCGAATTTTTAATTTACACTATAAAAGCAAACAGAATAAGTAGCTACAAAATAGGATATATAAGCACAAGAAGCACAGAAACTGTACCTAAAATTTATAAATAAATCCCACCAACCAAGAGCACCAACATCACCTGCACATTTCATATGAGGAAGATCTCAGAAAATTAAAACACTACTTTGGACTCTCTCTGTACCTCTTCCCTACCATATACATATATACATGTATACAGTGAGAATATATATGTGCATGTATGCATATTTAAGATGATAGTGCTATGGATCAATAGGACTGTCCAGAGAAAGGATATTACAGAGGAGTAATAAGAGAAGACACCATTTTGAATGCATTTTTCATTGTTACATTTGACAGCAAGGAGTAACAGAAATTACCGCATAACTTAAGCAGAGTGAAGACTGTAGCAGCAACAAAGAAAACCATGGAGATTGCTACCCAGAAATGCTACAAGAAATACATTGGCAAACCATTAACGGCAGTTTCCAAAATTGAGTTTCTAAAACTAGGTAAAATTAAAACAAACATTTAAGTTGAACAGAAAGTAAGACGGGGGGATTTCAAAAGGCACCTAATACTCTCACATCAAATATTAATTAAATACTTACTAAAAGTAAAACCCAACCTAAAGTGTTAAACTATTTTCCCACTATATCTGAAAGTTAAAGATAACACAAATGGACATGCCATGATGTCATTACAAAATAGTAAATTTGAACAAGAAAAATGCACCAAATATAAAAGGATAAAACACAAATTGCAAGCAATATCATGGAAAAACTATTCATTTAAACTTGAGTACCATGATAAGAAACTTTGGGAAATCTCGTAGGAAAAGCTAACAATTGCTATCCATTGTATGACACTATCTTCTTCGGACATTAGTGATGGCAGAGAAAATAGACGATTCATTTTCATTGCTTTTACGTGATTGACACTTCTCCAAATAATTTATATTTCCTTGAAGACTTGTTAACGTAGAAGATAAATTTTATCAAAGCCATATAAACTATCACTTTAGAATAAGGTGGTATGAAAAAGTTTGCTAATCCTTGGACAGTTTATCAACTAATGAAACAAAACTTACAGGAAGTGTCTCCCATATTGTCTCATCGCTCATGCCTTCATTATCCCCTGGCATTAGAGCCCTGCACATCCTGTTAAAGAAATGAATATCGATTAAAATCAGCAAAAAACACCCACTACACTAGAGCATTTCTGTGGGGGGGGGAAGAGAAAGTAACAAGGGAGGATTATGGCTAACACAATACATATTTCCATATTCTTAATTATATCTAACAACACAAAAATGATTTTTTTTTTTTTTTTCTTCTGTAATAGATATTTGATGTTTTCTCAATAAAAATAAACAGTAATCTGTTATACAACTTATACTAAAATATGAGATACAAAAAGAGTAAATGTCAAAGGAGATACCTGAAATTGTCAATTAGAATAATTACTTCAAAGGCCAGTAAGGGTAGAAAGACAACCTTCAAGTTGACAGCTGCAAAACCATGAACTGCAAAGAGATAACTAATCAGGGTCTTGCACTAGGACTCATTCTATTATCCAAAGATGAAATCCTTCTAGTAACAGGGCATTTTAAAGCATAACAGCTCAGTACAGAGTTCACAGTTTGATGCATTAAAAGAAAAATCAATAAACTTCATTAGGGTCAACATCTTCTGCATGCATTTCCGACCCATGAAAGTAGGCATCACCGTATCAGTCCCCAAAATCATTTTTTTCAAGGATAAAAGCAAGGAGTAGGGTGCGTACCGGAAACACTTTCAAGATATATACAAAGGAGCAACTCAAATGCAACTAGCAATGGTGTGGCAACAACAGCATGACATGGTGCCCACTGTACAACAGAGAAAATCTTAGTGGTGCAGATTCACAATTATAAATGACAAATTTTAGTCTTTTGTATTCAAACCACACAGGGTATCAGTGTAATGGAAATAATCTACACAACTGTAAAGAAACACAATGACATACATGACGACCGTGTGGAACAGAAGGAGCAGGTAATGAGAATCTTCCTCGGGCAACAACTGCATGAAATATCCAAAGTGGAAAGAAAATTATCCTGCAACGAAAACGCAAAACAACTCAGAAAGAAACTATAGTGATTGATGCTAAGAAGATATATGCCCTCGGGTGGTTCTAAAGTTCTAACTAACATATGCATATATATATATATATGAAAGTCACCTTTCTCTATCAAACTTTTCACAACGAAATATCTTCAAAGAGGTGCCAATACCACTGT